CCGTGACGAAACGGTTGCGCTGATCGTGCACGTGTATGACACTTTCTGTTGGATGCATGAGAAACCTGAGTACTATGACCCCGAAGTCGCCAACAGTGGGATCGACTTCCTCACACGCTTACTCCCCAAATATCACCCTTTCCTATTTGCACTCACGACGCCGCCCCAAGAAGCCAGCCAAATTCCTTCTTCCAATGGGGGTGAGCTTCAACGGCCGTCAGTCCTTGAAGCTGTCTTGAATTTTACTCTCCTCTCATTGCGAGGGCCTGAACCACTTCCGCTCCGCTCTGCCTCGCAGTTCTGGGTGAATGTGCTAACGCTTCCAAACGACGGTGGGTCTATTCAAACTGCCATCATGCAGTGTCTTCCAGCCCTTTGTCGTATCCTGATCACTCAGGTGGCCGGGCGATGCGCGCGGTCGGACCTCGAGCATCTCTGTGAGGTGCTTCGAAAGCTCATCTTCAAACAGCAAGGGGCTGCGCGCCCCCACCTCGCTGCAGCGCTGGCTGATCTAGGTAGCAATGACGCTTCCAATCAACATCAAGGCGCGTCTACGTCGCCCGAGGACAGGCAACGCTTCCTTGCGTCACTGCTAGCGGCAAGGGGTGCCAGAGCGCCAACTAGTCAGTTGATACGCACGTTCTGGGTCAAATGTCGGGGAGTGAGTTTCGACTACGTTGGGTAGATATTAACGTTATCTGGCTCCGGTTTGGAACAGTATGTGGACAGGCAGGGGAGGAATACAGTCAAGTCGCTAGCATTGGATCAACCCGAGTAAACCAGACCAAAAAAAAGAAAAATGATGATTACTATATAAGTCCAAAGTGAGGCAGGCTGTAATGGGAATGATGCAGTGAATCGCCACCCGAAACGACAACAAGCGCTGCTCATGTGTATGTGTGAAACCCCCATAGGACCATGGCCGTGGAACTGATGCAAGTTGCGCAGACATGATGACCTGGCAGTCAGCCTCTTTCCCTCAGCCACAGAGGCGGTGCATGCTTGGCCCTACAAAGTAAGGGGCAGCACGACACTTTACTCCGTATGGGGCATCGGTTTCAGGTGTCGCCTCGATTTTTCGCCAGATGCTACTAATTTAGCTTGATCGGCTATGAATATAACGCGATGTGGGTCTCTGCCCCTTAGCCCATGGGCAAATAAAGCCCTTCAACCTCGGAATTCTGCCGCTGGTCTGCTTTTAAACATGCCTGGTGATATTGCCGCGCTCTTTCTTGCCTGTTCTTTTCTACGCTTAATCCATTCTACCTACACTTGTTGAAGTACTGCATAATCGCCCCCCATGCCTATTATTGCAAATACTCCAGAAGCTGTATTGGGTCGCACGGACTCGCTTGATCCGGCCACAACTTGTCGCGGTGTCACCTCCAATGGGCGGCCATGTCGCCGGGCCCTGGCGTCTCCATCGCCATCAGATACACCGGCTTCAAAATCACAACAGACCGACCTATCTGCAATGTACTGCTGGCAGCACAAAGATCAGGCAGCGTCGGTTCCGCAGACGAACAGCGGGGCCAACCCTTCGCGATTGAGGCCCCGTGGCAGTATCGACACTTTAATGGAGCGGTTAGGGTTGATGGAACTTAACGATGCAGGGACTTCAGACAAGCGGCGCAGACAGCGGAAACCAGCACCAAAGAAGCGGACCAGACGTACGATATGCTGCTGCTTCGAGGTAATCGAGGAGGAAGACATTCGGCCGTCGCGGCCGGTCAATGCTCCAACGGAGATGCAACAAGCCCCTGCTGGGAAGCTGTCAACACCAACCCCATCCCTGTCTCCCCACCAGGTTCCTGTTCGACCCAGTAAACCTGGCTCTTCCTCTTCAGGAACCGACGACGACATTCTCTCTTGGATTCCATCTGGCCTTGCGCCGGAGACGACCTCCAACCTCACCGCAGAACTGGCCAAGCCTATCTCGGAAGCCGACGAGCCAGGCTATATCTACATGTTCTGGATGACACCGTCGACATCTGACTCCAAAGAGCTGCCTTCTTCAGAGGTAGCCTCGAACCTCATGCCGCCAACCTCCTCCCCAGGACGTGACCGCCGCGTAAGCGATGCGATTCGAACCGCCCGCGATCTCAATGCCTTGGCATCTGCACCAACTCATGACAGCCCCGGCACGCTCCGTTTAAAGATCGGGCGTGCTAACAATGTGCAGCGACGACTCAATGAGTGGAGCCGACAATGCGGCCACCATCTCACCTTGATCCGATATTACCCTTACACGCCCTCCACCCCGCAACCATCGCCATCTCGACACGGCCGGAGCAATGATGACAGTACTGCAACTCTTGTCCCGGGACGCAAAGTGCCCCATGTCCACCGTGTGGAACGGCTCATTCATCTGGAGCTAGGGGACGTGCGGATCCGCGACCTAGGGAAATGTCCGGACTGCGGACGGGAGCATCGCGAGTGGTTTGAGATCACGGCAGAGAAGTCATCCCTGAAACGGGTAGACGATTGTATTCGCCGATGGGTGAAATGGGCAGAATCTCATTAGCTATTTACGTAATACTAACACAACTATTGTTCGTTAGAAATGTCGTGCGAACGTCTACTGCTATTCTAGTCAAGTACTTGTTGTATGGCATAATAATGATAAGAACAGCAACAACAATAGCTACAACAACTACCTTTTTCTAAACCATTTGTAGTCCGAAATGATTCAACCACTTTCAATCAGTCCCAAATTCCCACCAAATACTCTATGGGAAGTCACCCAATATGATCAGTGTAATGATCGAGAACCAGAACCCACCAACAGCAATTATGATCATAGCTTGTGCTAAGAAAACGGATAGTGCTTAAGCAACAATTGATATACCTCCAAGGACGAGGGTTATTATTGGTATATCTGCTATACGCATAGCTGAGTTCGGATAGTAAGAGACATATATTATCGCTGTCTTTGGTGTGGACAATCTACTCTTACCAATAAGACAAGGACCGGAAACCATAACCCAACTCCGTCGCTAGTAACAACTATGATATAAACCCATCATACCCATAATCCATTCCTTAAACCCAGTCCCTCCCATCCATTCCTATAAACCCTCTCTCCCATCCCATCCCACCCCCACCCCCAAATCTCCAACTCACTCTCAACCAAAACTGCCCAAAGCAAATCAGTTAGCCCACCCATTCGGCAAAGGACCAGGAGGCCACAACCTATTAACCAGAAGACCAAAGAGAACCGTGAAAGCAAATCTGCACGCTCGATAGGTGAGGACGAAGAACCACGTTATAGCCGCCACCACCAGGATCACTGGACTGATGAAGAACATCGAGAACAGGGCGAACACGACAACGGCGATCACGCCGCATACGGCCACACAGAAGAGGAAGATCCCAGTGGGGATGGCAGCTATGATGAGCATAGGGATGAGGATGATTGCGATGATGATGGTGAGGAGAATGGGGATAGCGGGGATCACGGCGAGGTTGTTCATTGCTGCTGTGTGGTATGATGCGCTTGTAGTAGTGGTGGAAGACACGGTGGAGGATTTATGGTTTGTAAGTATTGGGTTGAGTGTCAATGTATATAGTATGATTGGGTTGGGTAGATGAATGAGTGTGTGTGCGTGTGTTTGTGTAGTTATTGATGATTGTTCTTAGAGAGTGTGTGGTGTAGATGTGGGAGTATAAGCTGTAACTACTTACTATATGCAATGCTGCGGGCGTAGGTAAGTAGTTGTGCCTTCCATGTTCGGTAATCAAGATGTAAGGAAGTGGCGGCCTCAGAAACTATCAGGATATCTCATATGGAGTGCAGCTAAGCCATATTAGGTTTATCATACAACCATCATAATACATAACATAGGAAAGTTGATATCTGTTGTACTTGCCTAGGTAGCACCCTCCACAGTGCCTCTGGAGGCGCCCCCGGGAGTATTAGTCTTAGTAGTGGCCCTGGTAGTGAACTCTCAGGGAAGATGCTTGGGGAGCTTCGGAGGGCTTGGGGGGAGGAGGGACCTTAGTGGTTGCCCTAGTAGCCTCCGGGGTGGTTCTCTTGGTAGGGCTCTCCAGGATAGTTTCTCGAGGATTACAGATTTCAACTATAAATGCGGGCTAGCTATAGTATTCTAGTACCTGACTTTAGGGCCTTACATCCCGTAGCGGCCTCCGTAGTGCCCTAGAAGGTAGTAGTCTCGGGGGTGGAGAGCCCTTAGTACAAAGTACGTAGCTGTCATACTGTTTCCCAAGCCCGTAGTCACATGATCGCATCGCTCGATATGGAATAGCTTTCACGGCTAGAGTAGGAGCCGTATGCTTAACTAGCGGTATGGTAAGAGCTGTCATTGCAGATTACCCGTCTGCAAGGTGGTATGTCACGTAACGGTAATTGAAAGTAACTTTCTCGGCGCTGTCTCGGTGGATGATTTGATTACTCAATGTCAAGAGAGGGCGCAATGGGGTCCCTGTATTCAACTCAAAAACAGATAGTGGAATCTTCTTGGCGTGCTCTGGAGGTTCGAACACGAAGATGAGTCAATTGTTCACCGGCGAGATGGGTCTTTTGCGCGAATTCATCGGCGGATCGGCGGCAAGCCGAGGGCGCCTTCCCGGCCCGCCGCTAGCCTGGAAAACGGAGTTGGGCTGTTGCTCCGGTCCCTTCCATTGTTATGGGTATGATTGTTTATAGGTCTGGGAGATCATTATATCAGAGGCGATATTTGTGGGAAGATGTGTGAGATTACTGGCTAGCTATAGCTAGGTCAGACGATCAAGCTACTATGGAACGTTGTAGTGCGCCAAGGAACCCGAGGTTGAGAAAGTCTAAATGGAAAAAAAAGTCCGTCTAACCACCGCAATTCTATTACTCGAAAGATAGTAGATCATGTGCTCATGGCTCATATCAACAATGTACTAAGACAAATCGCCTTGACGGCAGCAAATGCAACACAAGTGTACAAAAACACAGTAGACCAGCTTTTCCAACGCCCGCGATGAAAATAAGTCTCTAGAATGATTCTCGCTTACCATCCCCGCTTGGCCAGCTTGTCGGCCTCGGACATCTGCGCAACGTTGATGCCCACCATGGCCTCGCCCAGACCCTCGCTCACCTCGGCAAGAACCTTAGGGTCGCGGAAGTGAGTGACGGCCTGCACGATGGCCTTGGCGCGAGCCTTCGCATCGCCGGACTTGAAGATACCGGAACCAACAAACACACCATCGCAGCCCAGCTGCATCATGAGCGCCGCATCGGCAGGGGTGGCAACGCCACCGGCAGCGAAGTTCACCACGGGCAGACGGCCCTTCTCGGCCGTCTCACGAAGCAACTCGTAGGGAACCTCCAGCTGGCGGGCAAACTGGCGCAGCTCGGGCTCGTAGTCGGCAGAGGACTGGTAGATAGCACGGGCACGGGCGATGTCCGAGCTGACCTGGCGCATGTGCTTGACAGCTTCCACGACGTCTCCGGTACCGGCCTCACCCTTGGTGCGGATCATGGCAGCACCCTCCGAGATACGGCGAAGGGCCTCACCCAAGTTACGGCAGCCACAGACGAAGGGAACCTTGAAGTTGTGCTTGGTGACGTGGTAGACGTCGTCGGCGGGGGTCAGGACTTCCGACTCGTCAATGTAGTCGACGCCAATGGCTTCGAGGATCTAGTGGACGGTGTGTCAGTTTGTGGCGAAACGGACAGCTATGAAGGAAAGTTGATTGTAGCTTACCTGGCACTCAACGAAGTGTCCAATACGAGCCTTGGCCATAACAGGGATGGTAACGGCCTTCTGGATCTCCTTGATCATGCCGGGATCGGACATGCGAGCCACGCCACCCGTAGCTCTAATGTCGGCGGGGACACGCTCGAGGGCCATGACAGCGGCGGCACCAGCCTCTTCAGCAATGCGAGCCTGTTGGCAAATTGGATGTTAGCAACAATTGACACAGATTGAGCTTAGGGATCCTATGTAGAGGCATACCTGTTCCGCGTTGACAACATCCATGATCACGCCACCCTTCAACATCTGAGCCAAACCGGCCTTCAGAGTGAAGGTGTTGGCAGTGCCGTTGGAATCGCCATTCTGCTGGGAAGCCATTGTGAAGGGGAAGAAGGTTCAATGGGATGAAGACCAAGAGTATGTACGAGAAGAGAAGTCCAGAAGGAAGAAGGCACCCTAGGGAATGGAGAGGAAGTGAGTAGGAGGATGTCGAGAGAAAGAAAAGCAGGAGTGAGTCAACGGCCGACGAGGAACAACTACTAAGTACTCCGTACTGAACTATCAGTAACGCCGCCCGTTCGCCTCCGCGGAGACGGGGGGCAGCATCTGGACCAACCAGTGCCGGTTCCTGCTTTCTACCCCTCGATTTTTTCCCCGCGGCGGCCGACTTTTTCCTGCCGTCGTTCGCAGGGCGGCCGTGGCAACCAATCACTGCCCGTCCGTCCCTCCTTTGCTGCCTATAGAGTTGGTCACGTGATACATAGTCTGGTGGATTTCCCGCGGTTTTCCACCTTGGCGTATCGTAATGCTGGTCACGTCTGGTCATGCAGGTCGTGTGTATGGTCACACCCGTATTCCCTGTCAACTACTAGTAGTATTGTCCTTAATGCCTCAGGCATTAGAACTAACTGCGGTCCTCTCCAATCACCTTCCTATCCGAGGCATGCTTGTTTGATTGCTTCATCTCCTCATTCTCATACTAGCACTGGTGCCCACCTCAACACCTTCTCTCCATCCATAGCCATTGACTGCAGCAGTCAAGCAATTTCTTCCTTTATCTCAAGAGAATACCTTCCGCTCGTCTTCGTACAGTACACCCTTCTACCACAAACACCTTCTACCACAAATTACCCAGACCAGGGTATCTACCTCTCAGACTAACCCCCGTGACGTCACCGTACGCATACCGAGGGCGCAACTCCAGAACAGCTGAGAACCATAACCATAATAACCACAACCTGCAGCGCCCTTCCAGGACCTCCTCATTCCATCTCATCCCTATAATCCATTCCTCCAAACCCATCCCATTACCAACAACCAGAACCAGACACCAATAACCACTCAATTGCCTCACCATCCCCCTCTCCCAAACAAGTCCCCCCTCCTATTCTATCCATCGCAACCACAATCGTCGCAACAACCAAACAATGGCCTTCCTCCTCAGCCGCACAACAACCACTCTCCTAGGCACCGGCCTCGGTGTCGGCCTCACCCTCTCCCTCCACCCACTTTCCCCCTTCCGCGCACCCCCAATGCAATGCCAATACACCGCTCCCTACTACCGCCCCGAATCCCAAATCTCCCCGGACTCCGGCTGGGCCATGGACTCCCAGGACCCGTTGCTGCGCAAACAAGGCACCACCAGGAACTCGAGTCATAATACTGCTGGTGGCGGGATCCTGACAGCCTCGAACATGCGCCAGGTCAGTCTGGGCAGCGTGCTGGGGTTGGTTGTGGGTGTGGGGTTGAGGGCGTTTTCGAGAGTGTTGGTGGTGCTCTTGGGGATGGGGATTGTTGCTGTTGAGGTAGGTTGATTGATTGATCATTCCTTACTTTCCTTTGCTGTATTTGGTTTTGGGTTGGTGATGTGTGTACTGATATCAATGTAGTGGGCTGCGGCGAGAGGATATAATCTGCTTCCGGTTAACACGGTGCAGAAGTACTTTAAGCGGGTGGATTTGCAGAAGACGGTGTCGCATCATATTCCCTTCAAGATTAGTTTCGGGGCTACGATGGGGTTGGCTGCGTTTGCGCAGTTCTAGGCAGACTATGTTGAGATATGCGGTATGAATGTGATATGGTAGTATCGCATCTCGAAGAATCTATGTATCTTGTCTAGCAAGTGAAGTAACACCGGGCTTGCTACGCTCCAATTGCTGCAATAAGTATTCTATGTTATACAGGGTATCATGGATTTATGCCATGCCGTGCAAGGCGCTATGCTAGCCTATCTTATACTATACTATCTATCAATCTATCATCCTGTCAGTCAGCATTCAACTCAATACCAAATCTTCCAAAACACCCTCCATCTCGTCACGCGCCAATGGGACTCCCAGGATCTCCATCCCACTCGTATCCATCCGCGAAGTAATCATCTGATGGTCATGGAACTCCTTCAGCAGCGTCCGGAACATCATCTCCGATGAGGCAATGAACTCTTCCGCCGCCTTTTGATACAGCGTCCGGAACTCAATGCCCGTTTCTTCTCCTCGGCCGTTGCTGCCATCCCCTCCTCCATTACCCCCACCATCCATGTCATCATCCGACATGTGTCCCTCATCCGCCATGGATAGCAGCTCCGTAAGAAGTAACCGATAGAGATTCCTCGCGTTCTCAGGCAAACTCTTCAAGACGAACTCGACACCCTCCTTACCACCGACACGGCGGCCCTTTCTTCCTAGCAGAGTGCTGACCTCCTCAACAACATCAAACTCGGTATCAAACGGCGCGAAGGTTGTACAGTCGTGGAAGACGAAGTTGAACTGGTCACGCAGGCTGAGATCCCACATCAGCAACAGATTCGGGGTATCCGCCGTCGCAAGAAGATGGATTTTCGGCGTAGCTGCTAAACGGGCAAGGAGGGCTTGGTTCGCTGCTCTCCGGAGGGCAGGGGCATCAATGGAGTTGATGAGAACGGTGATTGGTTTCTGGGAAGGTCGGGACTTGAGGACGGACTGAAGCAATTCGAGGACTTCTTGGGGCTGAGAGCCCATTTTGGAAGGAATATCGGCGCCCAGGACGGCGGTGACGATCGTGGCGAAGATGGAACGGATGGACATGTTGGGCGTGTGTCCATTGACGATGACTACAGAGCTTGAGACGGAACTGCTGTGATGACGGTGGTAGAGCCAGTCTGCGAATTCTTGGAGAAGGCGGCGCTTGGAGCCGTAGCCGTACAGGCAGATATTGAAGCCTTGGTCGAATTCGAAGTCCCATTGGGGAAAGGACCGGCAGTGGAGGTCGAGGAGGAATGATTTCTCTTGTTTGTATGGGTCTGCGTACTGTGACATCCGTTCGAAGTACTCCTCGTGCGTTAAGAGGTTTACTTTGCCTAAATTGTTATTCGAGGTACGGGGTGGTCCGGCGCGGTTTTGGAAAAAGTATCGCTCATGAGCTGGGAGTTCTCCTTCTGGGGTGGGAGAACGCTTGTTCTTTGCGCCCTTTGGTCGTCCTGCACGACGCTTGGGTGTTGGTGCTCCTTCTGTTGCACCATTCGCGGCGGGTTGAGTAGACTCCTCCTCGATGGATTCTAATAAACCTTTTCCTGTCGCCGATGCCTTGCTGGGAGCCTCGTTGGTATCATCTTGAAGAATCTCCTCCGCAAGACGGTCAGCGCCGTCCCAGATGTCTTCGTCATCCTGTTCGAGTAGAAGACGAGCGCTCTTCTTCTTAGCGGACCGGTCGGCACGGGCTTTCGACGGAGTTGCAACAGTAGACTTTTTCGTGGGCGTTGAGAATAGATTCTTCGCTTTGGCCTTCTGTGTTGGTGTCTTCAACCCTGAGGCTTTGAGAGTGGCTGGGGTGTTATCGGTGGTGGATTTTTGAGGTGTTGATTTCACTCGTTTCGTAGGGGTGGTGGTAGCTTCAGGGGTTCGTTCACGTTCACCGTTGGTGTTCCCATTTACGGTGCCATTGGTGGCCGTAGTCCTCTGCCTCTTGGGCGTAGAGATCGGGAATTGGTCATCGGATTCTGGATGCTTGCGTTTCATTTTAGTCAATGGGTCCGGGGAGGTAATCGAAGCAGCTTCGGGGGAATGGCGGAGAGCAAATACCATTCGGGGCACAACAAAGCTCTTCTGGAGGTCCAGAAGGAACGACGAGCACAACAGAGGACGCGAGGGATGAGCGCGCTTGCTGGGAATGCTGATCGCTGATAGATCTAGTCGGCTTCCTCGTGGCTACTTTTTTGCCCTGCGATGGGCGCGTCTGGAACGCGCAGCAAATCAATCAATCAATCAAAGGCAGGCCCGACGGTTTCTCCGATTCCGCGATATCGGAGCGGCATTTCATCGCCGCGAATCGCATCACTTCACCTTTCCTGTTTCCGGTGCTTTGCGCTTGTTCTGTTCTTATTTCTTCCATTGAGACTGCTCACTTGGTTTGTCTGGCAGTGGTCTACACGTCCACTTTGCCTTGAGCGAATTAGTTGCGGTCATTAGGCCCCTGACAAGTCGAGCGAGTCAATTCGGTGAGTCATTTATCTACTTCAACTTATCTCCGATCCTCTCTCCTGCAGGTATATATACCCAAGGACACTCTTGCAGCCCTGGAGAAGGCATCCACACCCATTGGATTTCTCCAATATAAATTCCCTCAATCGCAGGGAGCAGTTTTACTAACATCTGCTCATCTGCCCCAGGTAAAAGGAATCCCAATGGCTTTGCCTACCAACTCGGCGGCCACTACCACCATGGCTACCTTCGCCCGCATGGTGAAGGGCCAGGTGCGGTACTACTCTGCGCCCTTGGATATGGCCATTCCCGCCTCCAAGCAGAAGTATATCCCTGCCTCCGGTACCTACCCTAAGGGCTTCTCCGTTTCCGGAACCCACGTCGGCGTGAAGGCATCCAACACCAGATTCCCGGACCTGGCCCTCATCTCCTCCGAGACGCCCTGCTCCGCCGCCGCCGTCTTCACCACCAACAAGTTCCAAGCCGCCCCGGTCCAAGCAAGCAAGAACACCCTGAAGTCCACCCAAGGCGAAGGCATCCGATCCGTGGTCATCAACTCGGGCTGCGCCAACGCCGTGACAGGTAAAGGCGGCCTGGAGGATGCCGTGAGCATGGGCAGCAAGGTAGACGAGTGCAATGGCCTCGCCCAGCCCAGCACTCTCGTCATGAGCACCGGTGTCATCGGTCAACGGTAACGACCCCTCCCAATTCTCCCATCGTCACCTCATCACTAACAATCTCATTCTCACAACAGCCTCCCCATCTCCAAGATCCTCAACAAAATCCCCACTGCGCACTCGACCCTCTCCTCCACCCACGATGCCTGGCTCACAACCGCCCGCGCCATCTGCACAACAGACACCTTCCCCAAGCTCCTCTCCCAGACCTTCACCCTCCCCTCGTCCCCGGACCGCACGTACCGCCTCGCCGGAATGACCAAAGGTGCCGGCATGATCCACCCGAACATGGCCACGCTCCTGGGAGTCCTCTGCACCGACGCGCCCATTGCCCCCTCAGCCCTCCAGCCGCTCCTCAAGCACGCCGTATCCCGGTCCTTCAACTCCATCTCCGTCGACGGCGACACCAGCACCAACGACACCATCGCCATCCTGGCCAACGGCGCTGCCGGCGGCGCACCCATCACCTCGACCTCGTCCGCAGACTACACGGCCATGCAGAACGTCCTGACCTCTTTCGCGCAATCCCTCTCGCAGCTCGTCGTCCGGGACGGCGAAGGTGCTACCAAGTTCGTAACGGTCCGTGTGCAGAACTCCCCCGACTACGAGTCCGCCCGACTGATCGCATCGACGATCGCGCGGTCCCCGCTCGTAAAGACCGCTTTGTATGGAAAGGACGCGAACTGGGGCCGGATCCTGTGCGCGATTGGCTACACGCAGGGCGTTGCGGAGGGTACGGTGGTGCCGGAACGGACTAGTGTGAGCTTCAAGCCTGTGGATGGCAGTGCGGAGCTGAAGTTGTTGGTGAACGGCGAGCCGGAGCAGGTGGATGAAGATCGCGCGTCGGTGATCCTGCAGGAGGAAGATTTGGAGATTGTGGTTGACCTTGGAGGTGGTGAGAAGGGCGAGAAGGGTCTTGGTGGAGAGGAGGCGGTTTATTGGTTCTGTGACTTCAGTCACGAGTATGTGACTATCAATGGTGATTACCGGACTTAGGTGAGTGGGAGTGAAAAAGTGAATACCGATGTTGCAGTGGAAGTGGTACTGCAGTTGATTGTGTATAAGTGTGGTTTCGGTATATACCCGCAATTGTTACCTTAGTTATAGATCTGCATCAGACATCACCCCCTTGCAGTTGAAGTAAAAAGGCACCCGAGATGGTCAAGCCAATTAAGTTAATTTTAGATCTTTTGTCAATATGGTTACAAACCAGGTAGGTGCTATGTACAGCTGTGGCGTGGACGTATCTTCGTAGAGAAGATCTTCCCCTCCTGCAAATTGTTAAAAACTAGCCATACATCCATCAAGAACTAAATAATCAAGATCCCAGCCACAACAGCACTCTACCCGAGAAGAAACAGAAAGTTGCAAGAACAAACATAAGCCCTCAAACTTCTTCTCATGCTTTCATCAAAAAGGGGCCTTATTAGTTACCCGGAACAAGGCCCTTGAGGCCTGATCCAATGTCGCCCTCACGGGCGGCAATTTCGAAGTATCCGTATATAATTCTGAAAACAATGGTTAGTATTCATTTCAAAAGAATCGAGACAAGAGTGAAGACTTACGTGACGGCAAGGAGGATACCAGTACCGCTGCCAAGAGCACCAAGGAGGTCAGAAGCGACGGACAGGGCACCAATGCAGGCACCACCGAAAGCAGCGGCAGTAGGGATGACACGCTTGAGCTCCTTGTACATGCTCTGCTCACGGTGACCAGCCATCACGAGACCCTGGTCCTTGAGCTGCTTAGCAACGTCACGGGGAGCAGAGCCGGAAACCTCGATCCAAGTCTTGGAGAAGAGAGCGCAGGCGACCAGCATGAAGGTAATGTAAACGGCGGTGTGGATGGGGTCAAGAAGGGCCTCCTTGAAGTTCAGGGGAGGAGACATGTAGTAGGCAATGCCGGAAGCGGCGTGGAGCTGGGCAGAACCCTCGCGAGGCTCCCAAACACCGAGAAGCTTGACAAGGAGGTTGTCAGAGAAGCGAGAGTACAGCATCTGACTGATGAGGAAGATGTTGGAGCACAGAGCAGACTGGAGCATGATGGGCATGTTGGAGGTGTAGAACAGGCGAACAGGGTAGGAACCACGCATGCCACGCTGGCGGGAGGACTTGACGGGGATCTCGACACGGAAGCCCTGGAGGTAGATCACAGCGGCGAAAACGAGGAGAGTGGCCAGCAAGTTCATGATGTTGGGGAGGTTCTGGCGGTAGAAAGCCTCACGAAGAGCGCGCTGCTTGTCGGACCAGGTCAAGAGAAGGTGGAAGAGGGCAATGATGGCACCCTCGAACTCGGGACCACGGCCAGTGTTGATGGTCGTGGGGGAGAAAGCCTTCCAGACGATCGACTCGCAGATGTTGGTCGCGATGAACAGAGAGATACCGCTACCAAGACCATAGCCCTTCTGGAGGAGCTCGTCCAGCAGAATGACAACCAAGCCAGCAACGACCAGCTGAACAATCAGGAGAACACAGATACCGGCACCAAGGTCACTGGGCTGGCCGTAAAGACCAGTGAGGACGTAGACGCAGGCCTGACCGAAGGACAGGATGATAGCGAAGAGCTTCTGAGCGGTCTGATACAGTTCACGGTCGGTCTTAAGGTCCAGGTTGACATCGATGAGGTGGGTACCAGCGAGGAGCTATCAGAAAAGCCACATATTAGCAAATGCCCAATATCCGACTTCAAACTGCACTTTCTTCATTACATACCTGGAAAACCATGCCGGAGGAGATGATGGGGGTGATACCCAATTCCATCAGGGTACCCCGGTTACTGGCCAGCATCATACGGAGCCAGTACAGAGGGTCGGAGGTGTCAGAGGAGACAATTCCGTACAAAGGCATCTGACTCATGACCAGGAAGATCAGGAGAGTCAACTGCAGAAACAATCCATTAGCTTAGAAGCTCTTGTCGAGCTGGACAAGTATCACGTACCCCCGTCCACATCAACTTCTGGTTGAAGGGAACCTTGGTTTCCGGGGCGGCCACCTCCGGGAGGAGGGGCGTGAAAGGCTTGATGAGATCGAGAAACCGGACTAGAATCGAGTATCAGCATTTGCTGACCCATTGAGGTAAAAGATGGAACGCTGTCGCGAAAAGGGCAGCGATCGCGTGCAAGACTCACGTCCGCTCATTGTGACTGTTGCACCTCCCAGAGCTGCAGGATTACTCGAATAAAAGGGGAGGGAAAGAAAGAAAGGAAAGCTGGAGGCGAGAACCAGCTGAAGGAATGGAGGGGAATTACAAAAGAAGAAGGGGAAGAAGTGAAGACGACGGGAAGAGAGAGAGGATGGAGGAGGAGAAAGGGAGGAAGCGATGAGGTCGACGGGGATTGCGGGTGCGATCCAGAGTCGCCTCGCTGGCCACTTTGCGCCCACCCAGCCACGCTAACCCGTTGAGGCCACTTGGTCGCTTTCCTCCGCCCCTACAAGAATTATAATGTTCACGATGCAGCACTATGAGCTGGAAACGACCAATGATCTGTTTGTATGGTAGGGTATTCGACAATTCTAACAAAAATAGTAAAAAGTATCTCTCTCAAAAAGTACTCTATCTAGGTATCTCAAGGTATCACTGTATAACGGTCATATTTCGCCGTTTCCTCCCAATAATGGCCGTGGCTTTCTGGTATCCGTACGCTTCGGTCAACGTAGAGCAAGCATACCAAGCTGTCAGGGCCCAACAAGACAGAGACAATCATCAATCACGTTCTCCAACTCCCCGAGTCGCTCCTTCAGTCCTTTGTTCTCTTCCTTCAAGATCCCCATGACGCTCCAGGCTTCCGAGGAAGGAACCCCATGACAGATGTTACATTTGGAGCTGTTGGTCCACGAGCTGGCGATGCTCCTCGGTGTCAGCCCTTTTATAACCCGATCATAAGTAGATGGACGCGCAGGCGTCGGTGCTGGTGCAGGAGTTGGCGCTGGTTTGAGCTCTTTCTGGCTCTGTTGTGCAGGTGCAGCTGTACTGGGTGTAGACAAGGCAACCTGCGAGATATTGGGAGATGGCGCGACCGTCGACGCTGGAGACTCGAGCACTTCGCGGCGGGAGAAGACACTCTCTGCAAGGCTCTCGTCTCCTGAATCGAAGCCCGAGTCGCTCGTAAATGTACCATTGCTGGCGCGTTTGAGGCTCCGCTTGGGGGTCTGAAGTTCAGCCCCCAGGTCAGAGGTGCTCTCGTCGTCGCTAGACCGAACCAGCGTGATGCTGCGCAGGCGTGCCTCTTCCTCTCGGCGACGTAATTGCCGCTCATGCTCCAGCTCTTCTGCCATGGCCTTCATCGCTTTTTCTTGTTGGATGACTTTCTCGGCCATGCCATCTAACTGGATCTTGAGGTTCCCGATGCGTGTCCGAGTGACCTCCAGCTCCTCTTGCTTTTCATTCTTGTCGGCCAGAGCTTCATGCAAGGCGAATGTCCTCTGTTTGTATGCAGCCTGCAGCCGCCTAAGTACAGTATCTGCGTTTTGTCTCAGGGCGTCAAAGGCTTCCCGACCTTCCAGATTACTGAATCCAGTCGGGAATAAAGCGGCGTTGATATCGAGGTTCAAGAACTCGTCCTGGGCAGGTTCGGGCAGCTCCGGTCTGCTCTCCCCCTGTCTCTTTAATCCGAAGAACGAGAAGGGACTTGATGATGTAACTTGTTTCAGAGGCGATGGCGCAGTCATCCGCTTCTGAGTTCGGCTTGTCAGGCCTGATGGGACGTTGGGCGACCCGTAGAATTCACGACTGGCGCGCTTCTCCATATCGTCTGTGGCGGCCGAGTCCTGCTCTTCTGACTGATACACTACTCCTAAGTTGACCGGTTCCGACTTTCCTTGAAACCAACCCGACAAGCGCTTTGCGCCTTCTTCGAGTCTCTTTCTGGCAGTGTTCTCAACCGGTGGGTTCGAGGGAGTAGTACCGGAGTCCAAGTCTTCGTAGGTTTTGGGTTGATCGGAGAAGAGCTTCCTGGACGGCAGAGGGGCTTGCCGCGGGATAATCTCGGTGTTCGCCCGACGGTGAGAGGGGTGTGAAGGATATTGTTTCGGCGGCAGTGGGGGTAACGCATCCGAGCTCGGTGCTAAAGAAGTTACAGGGGTATTCTGGTGGGCAGGTTGATTGTCGGCGTAAGGCTGACAAGTCTCTTCGATTTCGGTCGATGCGACCGCTGTCGAGGATACTTCCGCAGTATTGCTACTCGCAGGCGTGGCTGTAGTTGACGGGTGCTCGGGGTCGCGGAGCATTGTTGAGGTCGAAGGTGACTGGACGGTAGGTGGGAAGGGATGGGGCTTGGAATGACGAAGGGTCGCGGTCGGTCGCACCACTTGGACACGGACTGGAATGCCACGTCGATTCGTCGTCCAATCCAATGCACGGTCACGTATGCCGCGGTCACTCGTCTGCGAGGAAGCAAAAGGGGGGGGAAGAGAGGGGAGGAGAAAGACGGAAATGAGTAGCTCCCGAAGCTGTCCCTCTAGATCTTCTCTTCTTTGCTGGATTGCGGGGCGATAAACAAGGAATTGATAGAGGATCAAGCGTGAAAACGGTTTAGCAATGGGCCGAGAGTCGACGGTGTATACGTTATGGACAATAGCCTAAGTGGAAACAGGACGCGATTGTAACAGATGTTCTTCAGGTTGATGAACTCGACCGCCAAGCGATAAGTGATCAGACGGCGTACCCGCACGTGCCCCTGTCAGCGACGAGTGCTGAGGATCCTGCACGATCTATCTAGGAGTGGATGGAGCGATCTTGGAGAATTCAGAGCCGGACTGTCTTAGTTGGTGTTCAGAATGTTCGATATGTGGTCAACAATCTGACGAGGAATCGCGATGGATCCTTTAGGTCAAGGAACCACGAAATATCGCGAGGTTGGGTTTGTATTCTTAGAAGTCATGCTCCGCCAAACAGCAAAAAGCCGGTGGCTGAACAACCTTCTCTTTGCTCCACCACGAGGCCCTGCGCTAGATGAGTGGTGGATGAAGCGGGTGGTTACATGGCCTTTGAGTGATATTGTGCTGTCATGATCTTTTATTAGGCACAAATTCGCCCCATTCCCTCAGCTCCCCTGAACCGGGCAAGCAATGACTCCAGACGGCGCATGAATACCTTTCCATAACCCGACGACGTCATCTGTAGTACTGGCAGAGGCAATGGTCTCCTTGATGACTGGATAGTGGCATATACCATTGACGCCACGTCCTACGCAGTGACCAAAACGGTGATGCCCCTTTTCCGCTGTCATTGCTGGGCAGGCCCTGGGGTGCTTAGAGTCTGGACTCTTGGGGTCCCGTTTCATGCGGTTTAGTTCGCAGACGATCCTCTCCTCCGTGAGATTAAGCAATCTCGGGGTTAAGCAATCATTTGCGGAGGATAAGGGGGACACAGCAATATCCACTGTGTTCGATCGTTGTCAGTACTCCATCCTTCAACCCGACTGGATGAATGAGTCTGAAGACCAGGCCTCAAGGACGTCTGGCATGTACGGTTCGGAAATATGTACGTAGTCGGCTTTATACCGTGGAACCTGCGAGCCATAGATAGTAGATTTTAATGTGCGCTGCGTGCACTCGAGCTGCAGCGATGCATCGAGTCGTTCTGGATTACGAGGCATGGTTGCCTAAGGCTTGTAGGGTCACATGCTCTAGTCTCTACCAAATGATTATTTCATTGTCTAGTATGCTGATGTGGAGGGTATGAAGTATACTATACGCATAGTACATCAGGGTCTACTTAGTAGATTTAGAAATAGTAACTGAAGCGTCTGTTCATCTGGCACTTTTATTAGAACTAAAGTACCACTACTGTACTAAGTAACTTCCGGTATATATTTCCAAATAGTAGGCGCTAGTATATAGTAGTAGTATACATGCCACCCTCCTGGTCTACACCTCCTGAATACAGTAGTCATCATCATGGATTACTAAATTCTGATTGCAATATATCACGATATTACAAATAAATTACTTCATGATTTCCATTGTGGGCTAGTACTAAGACTCTGAACCTGAGGATGCATGTCGTGTTGATCACTCCCACTTAACCGGGCGGTGAGCCTCAAATCGCCGCAGCTTTGCAGGAACAACAATCAAGACCAAGCTTATGGATCGAAGCAACAAGATCCTCTTTGCAAAAATAGCCAACTGCACATCAGGGACTAAAGAGCTTTCCTTTTATTGTGTTCATAATTGTGATCACCCTCCGTGCAAATTCCTATACGAATTCCCCGGCATTCCCACACCAGCGACATGGCAAGCTCGGCCGCAAGCGGGTTGAAGTACCTTTCCAATGCGCTAGCAACACCAGAGCAGCTAACAAATTCATCATCATCTATCGACGGTGTGCCTGTTGATCTAGAAGCATCTGTCCGATTTGCCGGCGCGCAGCTCACACAAACAGCGGGGGTTCTGTTACGATTGTCGCAAGACATCATCGCGCAGGCCATTGTGACATTTACCCGGTTCTGGATAGGCTCGGAAGGTGGCAGTCTACGAATATACTCGGTGAAGGTAATCAGAGTTGCTATTATCTCTTCAAAATGAAGTAGTAGAAATACTGACAGATCATTTTCTCCTAGGATGTATCCGCCGCAGCACTGTACATGACTGCCAAGTTATCCTTCCAACCCACCTCTCCCCGCTCCGTGCTAAACGTCTACGCTTTTCTCCTGTCGAAAGATGCGTCGCCATTGTGGTTCATAAACCCCAAGGGGTCGCCAGACAAGGCAATGCCAGAAGCTTATCACCTTACGGAAGGCGATTATCACGCACAACGACTGGTTCTGCTGCGCATTGAGTCGATCATTCTACGCACGTTGGGATTCAATACGCATGTGGCTCTCCCTCATACTATCGCCTTGACCTACCTCCAGACCCTTGGCGTTCCATCCTCTGCCGTTGCTCACAGAGTATTCGAGCATCTCAACTCAGCGTTGCTGTCGCCGCAGCTGTTATACGTTACGCACCAACCGAACGCCCTTGCCGTTGCTTCGATCTACCTCGCATCCCGAGAAGTTGGGGTCAAGCTCGTCGATGGTGACTGGTGGGAAGTATTCGACGTTGACCGGGAGGACCTTGGATTCTTGGTGGTGGGCATGAGAAGCATGGAGGGATTTGCGCGGGCGGAAATGGAAAAGTGGAAGGGCCGGAGGGTACCCATGACGGTGGACGAGCTGGAGGGAGAGATAGAACATAGGAGAATGATGGAAGAGGGGGAGTGAGAGCTACGCAGCATGCAAGACAGTTCTATCATGCGGGCGCAGCTGGCTTGAGGAAGATCCCGGTTACAGGCTACATATGTTCCAGAACAAGCATCTGGAACAAGAAAGGGCCATGCTGGATCCGATATGATCAGATATCGGAGATAGCAGCCAGCCTTCCCGAGGACCCGTGGGCGCAGAAAACCCCGCCACTCGAGTGACAGGGCCTCTTTTCCTTCGGAGGTTGCCATAGCCAGTTATACTTCAGGTCCTTTAGATGGCACAAGAAGGGACGGACCTACGTAATGATTTGCGGGTAAAACCGAGCCCGGCCCCTCTGCAACTCCGCAATCACCTACCAGAAACACTGAGTAGTCCAGATGAATAAAGGAAAGTCCAGTGACTGGCAAGCCACATGGTTAGCGAAGTAGTAGTATGATCTCCGGGAAGAAAGTGTCCCAGTCCAGTAAACCCATCTAAAAGTGTGTTGCTTTTGGTGGATGACGGAGCCTCAGCCACCTGATGTACCCCGCGTGCATCGTCCAGGGACTCCGATAAGTTCGTCACCGCCACAGCCAAATCCCATTCCCTCCATCCCCATCATTCCCTCTCTCTCCTTTAAATCTTTCTGTAGATAAGCTTCCTTCCCCTCCATTTCATTTATATATCATCTCCTGACCTCACCCCTACCAACTCTACTAACAGCCCCTTCTAAACAACCCAAGAAAGAAACGAAACACCAACCAGACAGACAAGCAAGCAAACGAACAACTAAAGCAATGAATATCCTGCACTCCACCCTCTCCACCTGGCGAGACCGTCTCGCCCCCGTCTCCCGCACCTCGACCTTCCGAACAACCGGCCAGATCACCCCCGAAGAGTTCGTCCTCGCAGGCGACTACCTAGTCTACAAGTTCCCCTCCTGGTCCTGGGCCGATGCCGCAACCCCCGCAAAGCGTGTCTCCTACCTCCCGCCCGGAAAGCAGTTCCTGGTCACCCGCGGTGTGCCATGTCACCGACGGCTAAACGACAACTTCGCCGGGGACGCAGGCCACGAAGACGAGATTGTCCGGGGCATGCTAGCAGGTGAGGGTGACAACGATGACGATGGTTGGTTGCGGACGGGAGGCGGCGATAACGCAGCATCGTCGTCGTCATCTGCACGGATCGGAGATGTACGCACGGTCGACGAGGCCGGGAATATGGGCGAGGTAGAGGAACCAGAGGATGATGAGATTCCGGATATGGAAGATGAGGATGATGATGAAGAGGCGATTATTCGGGAACCGGTGACGGGGACGACGCAGTAAGTTGACCCCCTCCTCTATCTGCAACATTAAAGAAAAACCGCATCAACGAAGCTAATAAATAAATAATCCCAAACAGACCAACCCGCACCTACAACCTCTACATAACCTACGCCAACTTCTACCGCACCCCACGCCTCTACCTCTCCGGCTACCTCTCAGCATCTGAACCCCTCCCGCCCCAACTAATGATGGAAGACATAGTCGGCGACTACAAAGACAAGACCGTCACCCTCGAAGACTTCCCCTGGTTCGAAGGCAGCGTAAAGATGGCGACCGTGCATCCATGCCGGCACGCCTCCGTGATGAAAACCCTTCTGGATCGCGCCGACGCAGCGCTCAAGATCCGTCGCGATAAGCTCAAGGCCGCGGCCTCGGCGCACGCAGAGCCTGATGCGAAGGTCGCTGCTGGAGCGGGCGGGTTGGAAGGGTTAGTGGATGATGTTAAGGGATTGTCGGTGAGTGAGGGACATGGCGGCCAGGGGCAAGCAGGTGGTGATGAGTGGGAGATGCTGCAGCATGATGAGGAAGATCAGGTTGCCATTCGCGTGGATCAGTATCTCGTTGTGTTTTTGAAGTTTATTGCTAGTGTTACGCCGGGGATTGAGCATGATTTTACCATGGGGGTTTAGATAACTGACTGGCTGAGTGACTGACTTGAGAGGACCCGTCTCCCTCTTTCTTTCTTTCTTTCTTTCCTTTCGTTACTGGGTTGCCTTTTCTGTTGTTTTGTTTTTTTCTGTTATCGTTGGTTTCGGGGTTTTCTTTATACGGGATCATGAGCTTGATTTTATACTTTTATCTTCATCCGCCTTTCTGATTCTGCTTTCGTTCTTGTCCCTTATTCTGCTCTATTCGTGGCCATGCAATATCTCTCCACCCCCAAGGTCCCCATGCACTGGCGCTAGGAAACAATTATCGATGTTTATTATGAGACATGAATATGATATCACGAGACATTAATGCAAGATATTCTTATTTTCTTTTCTATATATTCCTGTTACACTGAATATCCATGATAATAAGAAAATCAACTGTAAATAATAGTAGTAGTACTAATACAACCCAAAGAACATTACAAGGTTCATATGCTAACCTAACCACCCAGTGATTCAAGAAAGAAAGAAAGAAGAGAAGATGAATGAAAGGGAATGAAAGGGGACAAAAACCATCCAGTCAAAATCAACAAGCAATAGACACAATAGTGCTTCCAGTTAAACTAGACCCACTCTGGTAAAGAATTTGTATATCGAAGGGAAAAAAAAAGAATATGGAATTTGGGGGAAGGGGGGTAGGGAATGAATGATGGTAATTGACAGAGGGAACTTTGGGGGATGATGGGGCAGGGGCAGGGGCAGGGGAACTCATGAATGAGAGTTATAGATAGAGGCAAAGAAAGTGAAGGGAGTGGTGGGAACGTATGTCAAGCTCACGCAGGGCATTGACAGGTGTATGCAGGCAATGCTGGAGCAGCTGGGGAAGGAGTGGGTATGATCCTGGGCTCGGATGCAGGCTCGTGGTCAGGTTGGGGCTGGGGCTGAGGCTGGGGTTGGGGCTCTGGTTGAGGGCTTGGTGTAGGGTTGGGCTGAGGTGCAGGGGTAGGCTCGGGGGCAGGAGATGATTCTGGTTGTTCAGGGGAAGGTTCATGTTCAACTGGAGGCTCAGGAGATTGCTCAGGCTCAGGCTGTGGCTCAGGCTCAGGTGCTGGGCATTCTTGCACTGGCTCTTCACGTTCTTTGGTCTCAGCAGGAGGAGCCGGCTCGGTGGGGGTAGATGGAGTTGGGGGTGCTGGAGGAGCAGTGGTAGGGGGAGCAGCTGGTGGAGTAGTGGTTGGAGGAGCAGGAGGAGCAGTAGTTGTAGGAGGAGCAGGGGGAGCAGTGGTTGTAGGGGGAGGAGGAGGGGGTTGAGTAGTGGTGGTAGTTGTAGTAGGAGGGGCAGGAGGGGCAGGAACAGAAGTCTCAATAGGAGGGTTGACTGGCGGAGGTGGAGGGGCCGTTGTGGACTCTGGGATGGTGGTAGTGGAAGTAGTCGAGGGCTTTGGCCGTGGCTCTTCAGATTCTTCATAGTTGTTACTGAAGTAGTTGCCCAAGTTGACGCTGGGACCACCCGGGATGCCGATATTCATCGAGTTCCCTGCGTTGGTGTTGCTGGACTCGCTTGAACCCTCATCATCATCATCGCCTCCACGGTCTTCGCGATATGCGTTCGAGGCGAACTGGCCAGAGTTGTAGGATGGGCCATCAGGGATAGAGAAGCCCATGTTAGAACCGGACTGGGTGTTGGTATTGAAGTGGTGGCTTTGTCTTCGTACAACGGCTCCATCCTGCAGTATGTGTTAGCTTCGCTGATGTTTACGCTTGAATGCAAGATTGAGGTCTAACATACTCCAGCGGCGACAGGTGCAGACAGGACGGGAGCGACAGCCAGCACGAGGCATAGCAGTGCCGGAAGGCTCTTGAGGTTGTACATTGTAGAAGGAAAAGAATGTGACGTAGTTATCAAGAGAAGGAAACTGTGGGAGTTGAAGGAGCGAATAACCAAGTTAGAGACAGACAGGGCTGGAATGAGCTTTGAAAGAATGAATGCTGTGATCTGCAGCGGATGAATGCTCTGATGAAAAGAATGTTAGCACGAGATTCTGGCCTTCTTATACCAGAAGACAGACACTCCGTCCATTGCAATATACAAGGGTTCCAAGACCCTATCTAGGATATTATCCCTCGGCATAGGGCCGGCCGAAGGGCCATGCAAGGCCCACGAGACAATGGCGCCGATAGTCACGGTGACCTCATGGCGAGGAGGACCTAGCCACTCTCCAGGAGATAGCCCCTCCGAAGGGTGACATCCCTGTAGCAGTTATTGAAGCAGTGTCGAGGTTGAAAGGGAACTGGGATGATAAGATAGGGAGGGATGGGGGCTTGACCGGGTCGGGGGCGGACGCAAGGAGAGCAGAGCCTGTTCGACCACATGTACACGATAGTACTGCAAAGAACCACAATTGAAAGAAAAACCCCTGTTCTCAAAAAAACTCCTGTAGCTTTAATATTTACACATAAGTGTCCGATGCATATGCAAAGAGATAAGTTCCGTCATATTCGTCAGTCATGGTATCCGTCCAAAAAGATAATGGCCCATCCCGTAATCTGGGGTCCATCGTAACCATAGTCCAAATGTGGCTATGAGCTTATGAGGTTAACATCCACAACAAAATATCTGCGACCGCACGATAATCCTTCCCTTCTACCCTACACCTTCCCACAGTCCGAATTCCCAAAAGCCGTACCAAAGTTCGTCGTATTCTTGAACCTTAATTCGGGCTCATCACCCTGACTCGGGGGCTCGACTTCAGCCTGTTTCTGATCAGTGCTTCGGGGATAGCCAAGGGCCTGCTTGACCTGGTCCAGAAGCTTCTGATCAAGCTCCTTCAGAAACTCACTATCATGCTCTTCCTCATTCAGCAAGGTAAGTGGCCCCTTCAGGGCAGGGTCATCCGCCAAATCCCCAAAGTACGAGTCGGAGTTTTCTGCAGGTTGCCGAGGCGCTTCCGAAGCGAGGGGTTCCTCCTCGTTCGCGGTCTCCTGGGGTGACGGCTGCTCCGTGTCGACGTCCCGATCGATCCTAGCCATGGGTGTGTGACCGGCGTTCCTGGTCAGGTTAAACTCTGGGGGCCCAAGTTCAGACAGTTTCAGTTTGAGGCTGTTGCGGTGCTCAGCAGAGGGTCTGGAAGAAAGTGATGGAGAGCCCTCGAGGGATGGTGGCGATGGTGGCGTAATTACTCGAGCGACAATTTCTGGCGGCAAAGCCGAGGACTTGAGCGTGATCCCGTCGAGTTTGCTATCAAGCCTCTCAATTGGGACAGGCACGCATGTGCTCGAGGTCAAGTCAGTCGCATGGGACTTGGGTGAAAGGGCAGCGTCCAAGGATGGCGCAGAGACCGATGGATTGCCTCCTTGCTCCGGAAATAGGAGACCTGAGAAGTCTGTCTTCTCCACGTTAGGGAATACCCTCGTGGGTTTGCTGCCAGGGCTAGAGCCTTCCCACACTTGGGTACTTGTCGGGTGAGAAGAACCAGTATGGTCTGCCGAAAGTGGGTGACTGAATTGGCTGTGAAATGCAGATGATGATGATGATGCATAATGTTGAAAAGTGCCGGTCGGGAGCGCGGCTGTACTAGTAGCGGCGGTCCCTGTGGATCCCCTACCCTTGAGCAGCGACTCTAATTCAGAGATCCTCTGGTTTAGTAGCGCACGTTCATTCTCCCATAGATGTCGTTCCTCGTTGAATAGCTTCCTCTCATGCTCGAAGTTTGCCCGCTGGCGATCGAGGAGCGACCGTACTTGTCTTAGGTACTCAGCGCTTACAACTGAATAACTGGCTGCTTCTATATCTGGGCCGCCAGTATAGTTTGACCTCGAGTCGAGATGGGTGTCCGGTACTGACTGTGTTCGACGGACGGGAGTTGGCGTAGGCGAAAAGCGAACCTCCTTGTAGAGGCTCCCACGACCATTGGGGGACTTTGTAGCGGTGGCTGGCTTCATTTTGAGATTATTGGAGTTGCTGAGACACTCCCGGGGCAGTTTGGGTCGGGTGGATTCCCTTCATAAAGAGGCGAGAATATGAGAGAGAAAAAGAGAAAGAGAGAGAGAGAGGGGTAAGGGGAAGGCGAAAGGAGCGAACAATTGGCGAAATAGTCACAACGTGAAATGAATTTAGTTCGGTACTAGCTAAAACATCAGCCGAGCTAGATACAGCAGCATCACAAGTGATGATCGCGCGTGGAGCGACTGAATGTCATTTAAACAGCGGTAGGAGAGTAGAGGGAGGGACAAGTAAGAACCGGGGAACCACACCGACCGGGTAACCTACCAGTGGCAAATAAGATGGGGAACGGTGGGGGAGCTTAGTTACTACTTAGTTGTCCGGAGTGGGCAATCGAGCGTTGATAAGCCACCGGTGCCTGAAGCAGAGTTTCAATCCGCAGGGCGAGCAGCTTCGTGCGTCGTGGACCAAAGACGTTGTTGCTGGTAGCAGCCTGCGACCACAAGAGAATGGACAAGTGGACGATGCGCTTGACTGCAGACTGCAGCGCGAAAGGCACACAGCATTTATCAGGCGGCGGGAGAGCCTATGAGCAACAAGCCTGCAGGATGAAGAGATTAATTATTATGCCAATCTTCTCTCAAAACCGACTGAGGTGAGAATTGATGACAGGATGGGAAGAAGATCCACCCGAATGCGGGGATGACCCAAAAGAAAAATGGAATCAATAGAAAGGATATTACTACTCACTACTAACACTTATTACTCGATATACCAGGAGATCAAAGTGCTCAGTGGTTCGATATCAGACGCGGGGGGTTTAATAGCAGGCTGATATCTTCCAGGACCAGACAGGGAAGGAGACCGGGGTAGGGAAACAAAGCAGGAGGGAACAGAAGAAAGGGAACAATAAGAGGAAGAAGAGAAAGAAAAAGAATAGCAGTCAAGAAGAAGAAGCGTGGGATTGAAATGTAATTTGGCTGTTTTCTTCAACCACCAAAAGGAACTTGAGGCCGACGATCACGAGGCAGACCATGACGTTATTAGCTTGGATGCGCAACAGAAGCAACAGTCACTTCTTTCTTTCCCTGGGGTTTCATCTCCATATTCGGTTCATTTCTTCTTCATTCCCCCTAGCCTTCACACCAAGTAGTCAGGTAGTCTTCTTCCTCTACTTCCTCTTCTTCCCCCTCCTTCTAGGCTATGATTTCATGGTCCAGGCGGGTCAATGAATCCCCATCATCTGGTACGTCCAGCAGACGGACCGATCTGAAGCTAACCCACTACACTAACCGTGCGGGCGGCAACGGTTGCTGCTGCCCGCTGCAAGTCCCCCATGCATCTACCAACTATGATCATGCTACATTTCCTAGCTTGCAGGAATAAGAAAATGACCAGAAATGACGCTGATTCAAATAGCTCTATCCGTAGTAGGAAACATGACGCTTGAAAAAACAAAACAAAACGAAGAAGACCCTTCCAAGAATGCAAAAACCTATCGCTTCCCGCCCGTTTGCGACCAAAACACCCATTCTCCGTGCTCATGCTCATCCCCCCACCCCCAAACCTCCAACGTGACATTCCGAAATGATTGGCAATCAAAGAGTGGAGTACCTCAAGACTAAGACACTCTACTGCGCAGTGTGTGCACATATTAAACTCTCTTCGCACCGATCTCCCTAAACGTCATCCTGCAGATAATAGTCCCAGTGGGTATCTGATCGGAAGGAGGAGGAAACCGCCCCCCCAGTCGGAAGAAGTAAATGGCAGGACAAGTGAGACAAAGTATTACTAATGTAGACAAATAGGAAGAAGAGGAGATGATCCTGACCAAAAAAAAATCATAACACCTGGTTCCTATGCGATAGAGAGCTTCATCTGTGACGCCCGCGTCTCAGCCTGAAGCGATTTCTTTGCATCGTCCATAACATGTCGATGCATCGACGGTAGTGGAAAGAAATGGAGATCCTTCTGCAAAGCTCCAAATATCGTCGCCAGATACCAGATACCCCGCGCGGACGATTCCAGATTCCCTACTGCAGCAGAAGGGAAGTAGAAGCGAGGATCTAAGTAAAACATGGTACTTGTCCAGTTCGGCAGCTTTTCCATCAACATGCGAGCGGCTGCTTTATACTCCTTCAAGGTCCGCTTTGGCACGCCTGTTTGCGAGTGGACAAAGAAGAAAATCTCAAACCCGACGCTGCGAATGCGCTTGCGCGCCGTGGGACTGATGGTGTCGAGGAAGGTGCCCAAACGGTCAAGATTGAACGAGTTCAAGAAGAAGAGGGTGTTCTGCGAATACACAAAATCCTCTACCTCATCGTGGATTTGCCGGTTCACAGAGAGTAGGCTGCGAACTCGACCGTTCTCACCCACCCAGCTGGGACACATCGAGAGAGCTCGGTATCGGCCGCGGGCAGTGAAGACGTTCCCGCGGTCATTGATCACAATCATCGGACGATCCGTGAATTCGTTTGGAACAACCACCGCATATTCGTAGATCATGAGACGAAGCTCCAGAGGCAATTTGAGAAAAGGCGATGGTTTGGTTGAATTCGTCTGGGGAGCATCCACCCAATGCTCCTGTGGACGTGGGATTCCCATTGTGAAGAGACAAGAAGTAGTATGTACTAGCTCACGCTAGCTAGTGGGTTCGTTCGGAGTCCGTCGACGAAGGAAGCCAAACAGAGATCCACTTCAGATCGAATCACTCATAGTACAATAGTAGCACATAAAATAGATCAGATGTGCAACTCCGTCTATGGTTCAGTAGTAGCGTATTTGCCAACGCCGCAAAAGGAGTAAGTACTAGTATATAAACCCACTCCACAACGTCAGCTCCCACGCAAGGAGAGAACCCCCAGTACGTAAGTAGTAGTAGCAGTAGTACTAGTAGTAGACCAAGATCCAACGTGTCACCACAGCACCGCTAGCCCAATAGCAGTATACTACCACCACAGGGCAAGCAAGTGACAACAACAACAACCGAACAACCGATGATCAGGCTATCTCTGCCAAGGACACGGATGTTGCTATAGATGTTGTCACACCATACCATGAGGTGATGGATATGTAGCAAGACCACACAGCACAGCAAGTAGTAAGTAGTGATTTGACTTCCGGAATCCTTCCAAAGCAGCAGAAAGCCACTCAGCAAGCAAGCAAGCACGTCAATAAGTACCAGCTAATGAGGGCAGTATTCCTCCGAGAACCGGTAGAGTCGTCACGGCTAAAACCCATGAGCTAGTAGCGTAGCTCAATAAGCCTGCAGAATCGTCCGGGCTATAGATAACCGAGGGTATATGTGAGTCGAATGACTTGAAACCAACGCAATTGGGGAGGGGGGGGGGCGTGTGATGAGAAGAAGAGGGATTGAGGGGAAAGTTTTGAGGGTCAAAAAAATATCAGACCACCTCTGATCCCTTTTTTTTTTTTTTTTTTTTCATTGTCTTTTTTCATCTTTAAATAAAAATATTCGCCTCATTTTGGCATGGATGCGAAAAAAAGTTTTTTTTTTACTTGAATGAAACAAACCACGTTACTTCGGACCGAGAGCCAGCCAAGTCGGAATGGAAATTGACTTTTCTTCTGTTTCTTTAACTAACTGACAAACTTTATCCTCTCTTCGTTCAGGTTTCCCCTTTCTATGCTTTCGGGTAGGGCCGTTCGGGGTGGTTCCGTAGTAGTAAAACTACTACTAAACCGTTGCCTGCCTCTTACAAATAATGATTTTTATGTTCTATATGCTACTAGGTGTGTTTACCGTTGTATGAATAGTCAGTGATGTCATTAAAGAGATACATAGTAGAAAGAATATATTGAAAGACATGTACTACTGTATGTAGTACGGTAACTGCTTTCTGGCATGATTCAGGAATTTGTTGGTGATGCAATGACGGGATTGAGGAAGTGGTTTAGGCTTCTTCCGGGCCGGTTTTGGGATTCGCCACCGGGGCCTCGCATGACATACAATCAGCACATACTAATTCAGGATTTGAGTCAGGGTGAGCTGTGTGAAAGTCTGGTAGTTTGTACTTACTACTATTCAGTATGATTGAGGTTTTCTACTGGTATATTTACTAGTACTTACTAGTTGAGGTAGGACTTGCAGTTAGTACTATTATTACAACTGAGTATAACCGGTCTGTGATCTGGAATATACTTTTGTTGGGATGTATGGATACTAGTATCAGGAGTAGTAATAATTGTAGATGCTATTTCAACCCGAAATAGATGATTGTAATATGTGACAATGATGATGATGATGCTGTTTGTTATCTGCTTCACTACTCTATTTGCTTCTCTTTGGTCTCCTTGAACAAGAGCAGTATGTATATCTCAAGTACGCCGATAAACGCCAAGTAACCATGCAGCTCGCAGGACAGCCAGCCCCCAAGCCATGCCGATGCTATCGCGGATTACATTCAACTTGCTGCCCTTGACCTCTCTCCATCCAACGGGCACCTCGGCCACGGGGATGTCGGCAAATTCGGCGAGCATAAGCATCTCCACGTCGAAGATCCATCCCTCGGAGTGCATATAAGGAATAATGTACGGCAGCGACGCCCGGGAAAACAGCTTGAATCCACATTGCGTATCCTTAATAGTGGCCGTCTTGGAGGGTGTCAGCAGCCACAAGATCAGATGAAATGAATGCATGAGGAAGTTGCGCAGCTTCGAGCGCTGTATGGGAATCATCGGTTAGCTATCTCGGGTATAGAGAAAGGATATGTTAGAGCATACCTTGACTACAGCTTCACTTCCCACCATGTGTGCCCGAGATCCAACAGCCACTCCGCGTCCTTTCGCGTCCTCGCTTTCCTGGCAGGCCGCGACAAGCTTTCCTAGATCCTCGAATTTGCTCGCACCGTCGGCATCTGCAAATACAACATACTGGCCACGGACATGTCGCATGCCGTGGGTGACGGCTCCACCCTTGCCCCTGTTCTCTGTCAGACACACCACCCGGATAGTGCCCGGGGGAATGCGGACACCCTCATGCGTCCCCGAAGTCCAAGGGCCGGCGTAGCCCTTGGGGTGCATTGAGAGTTGATGATCACGAGCGAATGTAAATGCTATCTCTTCTGTCTTGTCCTTGGAGCCATCAGAGACAATAATGATTTCCCACCCCTTGTTGTCATGTACCGGACGATGAGTCGCAGAACCATTGGTGTGCCCATTGGCCTGTTTCCGTTGACGCACTGCCTTTTCCGCCGTAACGGTCTCAGCGCCATTGGCGGAGTTTGTTACCGTGCCATAGACCTTTTCCAGGTAATCCACTGCCTCTTCCAGCATGCCCGCCAGACGGTCTTCCTCATTATATGCGGGTACTACCAATGACATGAACAAGTCGGCTTCCTCCATCGAGGTGTGGTCGAGAACCCGACCGGGGCATTTTTGAGCGTCTAGGGCATCTTGCCAGCAAGGTAAATCGAGGGGCTCCGTGATCGATCCATTCTTCAGGAGCGTACGATATTTCTTTTCTTCAGGGAACGGCTTCCGTGGGATCGGGGCAACGGTGTACAGAGTGATGTAGAACTAGACAGGATAAGGACCGCTAATTAGCGCTACTGTTCTAATCGCGTGGCCAACCAAGGGCATCCCCAGTCTACGGGGAAGCCAGAGGCGCAACGGTAAACCCGAGGGTCAATGCAATCTAAACATACCAGGACGGACAGACCAGCGAGAGTTGCGACCAGGGTAACGAGGAGGACCGAGAGCGGAACGTTCGCCAGGAGCTCGGCGCAATGACCGTAGGTACCGAGAAAGGTACCTTCAGCCATGATGTTGAGTCTTGAAAGAGCAGGGGGTGGTAGAGACGTCGGGCGAAGGGACAGATGGCCTCGAGCGGATGAAGATAATCGCGGACAGGCAGCGGATGGAGAGGGGAAGTGAGCTTCAAGTGCTCAACGGGACAGAGACGATCCGATCTTGGCCAGCCATGCGACACGGAAGCTGTCTTGAAGGATTGATCACCTCACTAACATGGAGAGAAAGAGCAGCGATCCGGAACAGAATGACGGTGAACAACAATGGCCATCGTCCGGGACCGAGGGAAGGATTGCAAGGCAATAATAAAGTAGGAGGAGAAGGCGGAGGAGGAGCAGCTCCGAAGGGGAAACGTGGTGAGATAAAGATAGGTTAGTAGAGCGGGCTTTAGCCTTTAGCATCCAAGCATGAGACGCGTTGCAGACGCCAACTTGTCCTTTCAGTGGGTTTCATTCGTTCTGCAGGCTCCGCTCGGCTTCGGCTCCCCCACTCCGGGCTCGGTTCATCGCTCCGCTCTCTACGTAAGTATGTATTATGCTGGTTAGTCTACGCAATATGAAGATCTCTCCCATCATCGGTTCTGTTTGTTCTCTTGATAGCTTCTTCGTTAATTACATACATACCAGTGACTTCGTTTTCTATTTCATGCTCCCCCACCATGATGGGAGTAGTAGTATATCTAAATGCTCTCACGCCCGTCTTCTCCTCTCCCTATACCAGTAGGGATGATCTTACACTATTAATAGATTTTGTCGGAGGCCCAAGACAGGCTTGAGTGAGTAGCTGCTGGATGAAACCTTGATCGGGTGGAGGCTGACACTATACTCCTCGACAGTCCTTTTCATGTCGCATGGCAATCTCATCTGTGATCGACCTCCAGAGCGGATGCAGACAAAAGCTAGCTGCTAGGCTTGTGCCTCAACGGGACTCGCATCAATACGTATTTCACCACAATCATATGGCTCTCCTTTTTGAGAGCGCCCAGATACCGGGCCTTTATGTTATTGCACCGAGGACTTTTGGTGGTATTGTAATCGATCGGGCCATCCAGATAGCGTCTCTCGCAATGTTCGATATTTCACAAACGTCCAAATTGCATGGCTCACAAGTGGGCCAGCCGGGCCGCCCTCATGTTTCGCGCGTATCGTTGCCTGCACTATCCTGACTGGCCTCACTCGGCGTGGAAAAGGGGTTGTGTTCTTCGGCAATAGTCTCAAGCTCCAGGGCAAATGGGGTAGCAGAGAACTTCCGCTCGTTGGGGTCATATGTGATCCAACGTCCAAACTGCTCGCTATTAGCATGGCTCTTTTAACGCGATCATAGTATCTTCCTATCCACAGGAAGCTTACCTTGGCAAGCCTGATTCCCAGCCATATGCACCTGTACATCCTGGTGATATCCCGTGACGGCGGCTCAATGTTCCTGCCCTCGCCGGCAGTAGGTGCGTTGTCGAAGAAAGATGCAGGATAGAGACGTTGGCTCCAGATCTGGCCACGAATAAGGAAGTCTTCCGCTACCCAGGTGGTCTCTTCCGAGACGGGAAAGTCCTCCCTCTCGGCGATCTCGGGCCTGATGTAGCTGCGAAACAGAGTATTGAGAAAAGACACAAGTTTTCTCCACGGTACTGCAACTTCCAGGCGGTTCATACCTCGCGGTGTAAGTGACAAGCACCAGAGGAATGCTAGAGAGACATGGCATGCTGCGTATATGTTCCTGTCAGGGACCTGATTGACTTGTTCGAGCATCACGGACAAAGTGTGGTAAGCGAGGTAGGACCCGTAAAAGAGCAGAGGCGATGGATTTGGGGAGTCCCGAGATGCTAAAAACTCTGCTTGCACGGCCTCGAGGTCATTGACAGGAATCCAGGCGTTGGCAGCAGAGTCGTAGACCTCGTCTAGTGACTCTACTTGCGACTGCTCCGCCTCCTGGAACTCGAGGCCCAGGTAAGCGTCGGGGCTGCCATATTCTAGCATGGCGGAAATATTACAAGCGCAAATGAAGAACCCCTGTAGCCTGAATGCGGCCCCCAATTGGCTTATAGTCTGGTTCAGAAGCGATGCAAATGTGTCGATCGACTTAATAAAGCGATCTCCGACGTCTCTAGTGTACAAGTGGCCATGTGCGGTCACAAAAGCGCTTACTAGTGGCAGACGACCAAGTGCTCGGGGCCCTCTCAGGAAAGGATTGAATAGGAGAAAAATACTCTCCCGTGTGCCCGCGAACGGCTGAACACTGACCAGAGATCTCGTATAGTAAAACAACTGCTGGATGATATCCGGTCGGGCCAAAACCGCCAGATGATGCTGGATTCTGCCCACATTCGGGTTCCGGTCTGCAGCCTGGTTGTACCAGTATCGTGCCACGCCCGCCCAGGCTTCACGTTCGCGAAGGTCGGATTCCTCCACGGCCATCCGGTAGCGCGAGAGATCTCCCAGACATTCGATCCAGGTATCTTGAAAGGCAGGCACCGATTCGAGCATCAGTGTGATCATGGAATAGGCGTAGTAGATGAAGGCTAGCATGTGCTCCAAGGATTCAGGAAGCCGGTGGCGCAGCAATTCCAGCAACGAATGGATTCCGTGGCGCCACAGTCGTGCGGGCATGGCATATTTCTCCGCTAGGCGTTTGAGCGCAGGGCTCGCGACAGGGTGTTGGGAGCAAAGAAAGAAATCGTGATACTCTTGCAGCATAGTTCCGTGGATTCCAACCAAGCTTTGATATTGAACCTGCGTCATCGTGGGCCATTCTTGGACCCGCTTGTGCCACACCTCGCATCTATTTTCCGCCATCACCAACCCAGCATAGATTCCTCGAACATCCTGAATCAGTTTTTCTTCTGTGCAATAATCAGTTTCTACTAGCTGAAGTATAAGCCCATTTGATGCTGATGTACCTCCGGATGTCCCAGTGACCGCGCCGGCGGGACTATGAGCATTGCTCAATTGTCTCGCGGACTCTTGGCCATAGCTCAGACCCTCCGCAGACCCCCGTGACACTTCGGAGAGGGAGGCCATCTCGTCTGGATTGGCGCTTGGGTTCATTGGTGGACGGCCGGCATTCATGATGGGACTGGAGCGAAATGCTTGCGAATGAAGCGGGGATGAGCCGCCATTACTTTCGCCTATGTCGTCCGCCGTGGGGGCGGCATCTCTAGGAAGGCGGGAATTGCTGTCAGCCGGACTAGCCTGCCCCATTCGACTTTCAGCTACTGCGCGGCTTGATGGGCGGACTAACTCGGTGTCAGACCGCCTCCATTGCTCCTGCCATGCTTGACGACACCCGTTCGGCACGTTGGAGGAAGCAAGGTCGGCCGCTTGCTCACTCACGCCATCCGAGGCAAAATCATCCGGGATGGCGCCCCCTGAGTCGCCTCTCTTGTGCGAAAATGAGGCACTGGCAGAGTGAAACGCTCGATTGGTAGTAGAGGATCCGGCAGGGGAGCCAGCATCCGACACCAACGGTGGTAGTGGCTTCCTATATGGACTGTTAAAAACACCGCAGATGGTAGTTACCCGACGATAATTTGATAGACCAAAAAAGCAGAAGATACAATATAATAGCGCGATACATGGACAAGCATTCTGGAATTGGTTCAATAGCCCGGTGTGTGGGGGGTACACTACTCACTTGGGGTGGGAGGAAGAATTCGGATGGATGTCCGGGTTGACGGGCTCTAGTAGGGCTGTTGCAGAAGAAGCTCGATCATGATATGAAACCAGTAGGGAGTCCTGGCCAGCATTTCCGTCACTCATCGTATTGGCTACCGTAGGGTTATGTAACACGTCATCTGATCCGTATCAGCGAGCCGTCCAACTCCAAGTATTGATAAGACGATCAGTCCGATGATGGTGGAGCTAATGCGACAAGTGAAGGATGGTGTGGTGGCGGTGGTAGTGGCGGTGATAATAGAACAGTAGTGGTCCTGGGGAAGAGGGACTGCAGAGACGAGAAGGAAAGAGGAAGATTGAACAAAAGAGGAGCGGGTGAATGTGCGCAAGTAGAGAAAAAGACTAATATATAGTAATCGCGGCGCAAGTGAAGTGATGTTGGCGATGACGGAGGAAGCCGAAAGGAGAACAGAACGAGAGACGGGGCAGTGGTTTGAGAGTAATAGATCAGATCAGATGTACAATGACATCAAGGTTTATGTGACAAGCAAAATTGGGAAACCTTGAACAGCACAGCGAGTCACAGGGAGATAGTAGATCGAGAGAGCAAGGGAAGAGAAGGAGGAGGAATAGTAGCAGTAGTAGCAGTGGTAGTGATGGTGGTAGTGGTAGTAGTAGCAGTAGCAGAGGGCTTTTAAGTAGAAGAATAGTAGACATGGGCAGGAGAAGGAGGTAAATAAACGACAGTCATAATAATAATATAAGGAACTGACGATAATAATCAAATAATAATGGTAATACTGACCTGGACACGTTGGAGGGACACGGCGGGATTATTTAAGAGGCAGATGACATTTAGGTTCTTTAGGCAACTAAAGTCATCTCTGCCTAGGAATCAGAGTGAGCAAACCGGTTAGGAAAATTGCGCACGAACACCGAAAGCAACGATTGATAGTCCAACCCACCTCGGCGTGATAGTAGGAAGGCTAATTTTCCCTTGAAGAATGGATAGATCGAGAAGGTCAAATCGCGGAGACAAAAAGCGACTAAGAAGAAGGCGGAGAAGAAGAAGAGCGAACAGCAGCAACCAACGCAGCCAGCCAGTTTCCAGCAAGCGGCGGCAGCAGGAGCAGTACATTAGTTACTTACCGTAGGGGGAAAAGGGAAAAGGAAAGGAAAAGTAGTTAGTTAGTCTTCTTCATCCTTTTCTCTTCCTTTCTTTTCTTTCTACCTTTCTGTGTTTTTATTATTTTTCTTCTCTTGATTTTTCAATTCCTTTTTGGTTGTTCTACTAATGAAAACTAATTTTCACTTCCATTACTTACTTACTTATTACTACTGTACGACTGACTTAACTTTTTTGACTCTTACCGGTGATACTTGGATGGATGGTATTGATACCAGGAAGAGAGGGGCTAGCTGGTCTTTGGCTGGCTGGAACTGGCTTGACTGGCCCTTTCATAATCACCATAAAACGGTTTCACCGCGGTAATTTTCCGGTATTGGGGTAAGGATGACTTGGCGGCTATGGCTGCCTGTAATTACCAGAATCACACACGAAAGTTGACCAAACTCGGGTAAGGATACGGATGGGGGTTGGTAAGCCGCAGTTTTCGGTAGCCTGACGATTTGCGGGCAGTTGCCTCGTCGGCTTTGTCCCACTCGCTGTTCTCCCTCCAGTTTCTCTCAAGGGATCAACCTGGTAATGCTCTGGGATGATCATCTGGTGAACTTTGAAGATCGGTCCCGATCAGTCCTTTGCCTATATTATTCCCTTTTCACATTTCTCTTTCGCTGCCCCCTCTCTCTTTCCCCCCCAAACTCCGAATAGAACCGCATCGTGGCGAGGTTTTGTTTCTCGCTCCCCGGCCTTGTGTGGCGCCGCTTTGCTACCACTATACTACTAAGAAAAGACGGCTCCGTACTACTTACTAACTATTGCTCCTGCTTCAATTCTATCTGCCTGTGATCACGGCTTCCAAAGACACTTCGGCAAGCTCACTCTGGATGGTTCAAAAGTTAATGGTCTGTGTCTCGACGGTTTGCTAGCAATAACCGATCGACTTCCCCTCCCCTTGAGCGCCACATCCTTCCAGGAAGGGGAAATTGGATATCATAGTATACTACCAACTCGGTTACCACCAAAGCTGCCCACGCTCCGGATCTCCCTTCTTATGCCTTCTTTCCTTGTTCCTTTTCACACTCTTCGTTTTTCCCATCCCCCTGTCTCCTAGATCTCCACGAGGGTCGTGGCAAACTTATCTGTCACCCCCTGTTTCAATAGTCTCTTAATCTATCTTTGACGGTCTTCCCGCAAGAATTGAGGGTTGGCAGACAAACCAAAACCTACTTTAGCTGAATTGGCGATGTTGATGCTAGGACCCGATGATTTGGGAGGACCACATTTACCGGAGCTCCTTGCATGCAGCAGCCTGTGGGCATACTTGACTCGACCCTCATCGCCACTAAAACCAACAAGCTTAATTCCAGGAATGAGGATGCTGTTGCCCTTGCTTTATAAGGTGTGCCCCCCTCCCTTGACGAATCCACAGTTTCTCGAATTCGCGCCCACGCGGTGCTATTCGATCTTCACCGAGACAACGGATGCTACTACTGCTGGTCGCCTGAGCGGCGTTTAACCTCCGACCTGTTTGATTTGCCGCACCAAGGCTGCGGTTGACAGCGTCAAACCACAACCCTGTTGGGAACCACTCTTAAGGGAGTCGCTGCCTGATCTGATCATGGGCGAAAATGTCCGTGTTTTGCCATAGCCACAAAACCCCCCTCCCCGCCAACAATGGATTCTACAAGCCTTGGCCCAAGGGGTCAGAAAATGACAAACCGGCAAAGGCCGATTTTCCTTTCCGGTTGTTCCCCCTCTTCACCGGGTACGTACTGAGCAAACTAAATAATCGGTATTGCCCTTGCATGGACACCGCTACTCTGGTTCGGCTTCGAAACCTACATAGAGTTGGTGACACTTTGCAACAGTACAGCAACGCACTGTTTGCCTCTTGGACAGGAGCACATTTATGTAGGTCGGTTGTTATCAAGTAAGTGCACGAGCACGGCTACCGGCCGACTCCAAGTGCTGCCGAACCGCTTCATACCGACGGTAGCTAGTCAATAGTAGAAAAAACATGTCGCATGTGGGGACCGAATCGCGATCAGCGCGCCACGTTCAACGTCGGAAAGGCTTGAGCTTGAGAGATGGCCAGGTGTGATTCAGGGCTTGATCGACCTGCCGCCCCAGTGAGGCTGGTAGTTTATCAGCTAGTGGTGTGGATCAGTCGTATAAGAGTGGGACGGTCTGCCTTTAACCTCGAGGTGGTGTTGCTATACTTATGGCCTCATATCTGTCAACACCCCCAATCCTAACTAGAGCAATCGGCGTGGGATTGAATATTTGTCAGTGCTGTCTCCCTTGGACAAAGCCCAAGATTGCATTGACAGGCACCTCTAGCTTGTCGTGATACATATGTCTGACATAAGACAGGCAGACAGACAGACACACTTACTACTAAATGAGCCAGGTACTGCAGATACCAGTGCCTAAAAGTAAGGACATTATGACAGGCCCGTCTTTCGATCGTTTGGGCGCTGCCCGCCTGACCGATATTGGGCCCAAGGGGGCCGTGCAGACACAGCCAGTTCAGTCTGTACGGATTTCGCAGCGTTCCCACAAGCCTTCTGAGATCACACGCCTACCTATATCCGACCTTCCATGGTAGTACACCCCCTCTAACTTGCCACCCGGCGTGGAATGACCTGTCATTGCAAGGCTATCGTTTAAGAGTCACTGGTACCGCATGTCGACTGGCAGGTACTATTGGGGCGGATACTTTCTTCCAGGTTTCACGGCGTGGTGATGCTCCAAAAGTGTGAACCAAACTCTCTGCGCGCTGGATGGGTGGAGGAAGTGTCGGACAGCATCCCTTTTCGCAGGTATATATTTGGGTACTACGAGCCTACAATGGGCTGGAAATAAGCGATCTACCGTTCACGCATCGATACGAACCAGATCCGTACAATTGGTGACTACAATCAGTAATGACACAAGACGCCCTAGGAAAAACCAGCAGAATACAAAGGCGAAGATACTGCTAGTGCGGCTCAATGCTTACGAATACGGGATTGTCAAGGCCAAGTTGACAAGCGAAAGGAGGACTCCGAAGCTAGTCATTGAACCACATAACATATCGTTTTCACTGCCTAGCCTTGCCAGGTTAGGCTATGATATATCCCATTGGAGACCAAAATTTGAGTCACCCAAGGCTATCGATTTCCGTACCTTGGTAGACGATAAAGCTATTGGCACCAATCCAGACACGTCTGACGTTACCATGATTTTAGGTAATGGAAAGGATAGCTTATATTTGCAGTGGTATAGATCTTCTTATGCACACCCACGCCTGGAATATGTCAACCAGGTAACGGTCTACCTATGGTGCTGACCTATTGGATTCCAATTACCAGGAAGGCGAAATGGAAAATGTTTCACTTATCTACAGGACTAATGGAAAGCTATCATTGCAGATGCCCCCTTGGTCAAGGGCAGTAGTACAATGATGATATCAAATCACAGCCATGATAAACGGCTGGTAAATCATGTTTAAAACATAACACTCAGACCTCTGTATTGCAGCATCAGCATGTATACCTGCATTGGAACAGCAGCTCACCATACCTATTTGCTCATTCCCTACCAGCTACAGATGCATGATCTTCGACGAGCAATCGCCCCTACCATAACATGCAGGGATGTGTTGCAACTCTAAGACAAACAGTTCAACGAGAGCGAGACAGCGACCAACGGTCAATGCGCATACATACTACATAGTACCCACACCGGCACGAGCAGAGAAGCAAAAACCGGTTGATAGGCTCTGTATGGACTATCAAATAGTAGTGTATAAGAGGGAATAGCTAGACCCTGGCTGGCCTAAAGATAGTTTGATTTTCAAAGTGATGGCTAGTTAGCTACCTTGACTAGGGCCTCCTTTCTCCTACCGTGGCTTGCAGACTGGCAAGCTCACTGGCCAGATACTTCCCCAAGATCCAAACCATGAAAACAGCGCCTCCCCGGTTCTTTGCTAGTGGTTGCCTTTTCCCATGCGGCCCATGCACGTTGCCGGGGGATGAAAACCCTGGCTTGGCGGTCCCATTCTAGGTCCTTGATCGGGCAATTGGTCCAGGGCTGGATGGAGGCCCTGCGATGCACCTCGCCGTGTTGGATCTCATCCCTCTGTCCTCTTGACCTTGAGGGGGGTTTTCCCTTGACCCCTTTCCCTCCCACGTATTCAATTGCTTGCTATTCTTGTAAATCACATTGACTGAGTCAAGGTGAACTAACTATTCTTTTCAGTTTCTTTTTGACACTAGACCTTCTTTTGCCCGTGATCACAGGACCACATACCCTCCATCTATTCCATTTCTTCATCCAGAAAGCTTCCACCCACTTACCCATACGCTATGCTTCCATACCAACAATCCCACTCTCTCAAACCCTCCGGATAATACTGAAAGAACAACCTTGACCCGCCGCTGAACTTATCTGTGGTGGTCCAGCTCACTGCCAAGTCAACTCCACAGTCTGCCAACTCCCGTCACGCCAAGCAGGTGCCCTCTCAAGCGCAGTAGTATCCCCGACGGGTCAATTAGCCACTCGTCAGCACGACTGCAAGTGATAGGGAATCCCACAGAAAGTTCATCTTAATGAGAGGATCGCAATTTTTCCTTGTTAGTTTTCCAAGAGTTCCAGCGCATCAAGCAGAGCCAGCGCATGCACGCAGGTTTAAACACTCGTGCAGCACACGGACTGGGAGGTTCTGCAGAGAAACTGCCAGTCTCTGACATGGCCTAATAAGGCTACTCGCAGCTTCAGATTGAACCTTCAGGTAATGCATATGAGCCCGATATTCTGCGACGATGAAATGCGTATGATTCGGGAATTCAGAAGAGCTGGGGGGTGGGAAACAATATCGGCTTCTGCGCCATCGTTGATGAAGGGTCAACTGCATCGGAATGTCATATGAAACCTGTGCAGCTTGAATAATGCGATTGATAAATCAAAAGAGATGGTGAGTACTGTATCTTGCTTTGTCCACCACTAACTACTCTTTTTAGTTACAGAATCAATAACACTAACTACATCCGCATACTCTCTCTGCATATCTCCCAAACAGCCCTCCGCATGGGTATATCCATCAGCCCTGAACACAACGAAAGCCTTTAATAAAATGAATCAAACATTTGGAGAAAAATAATGCCTATTCATGCATTTCTAACTGCTTACTAAGTGGCTACTTAGCCAGTGTGACACTGCCCCAGAAAGAACAAGGAATAACCTAGTTACAAACAACCAATGAACAAACAACCCTCACCTGATACACCTCAAATCCTCCGCAACACTGCCCCAAACCGGAGAGATATCCCATCTCCGGCCCTGTCCCACAACCCAGCAAATATCTTAAAATCTTAGTAAGAAAATACCATACAAATGAAATAACGAAGGACACTTAGGTATACAAGCACACCTCCCAAGCAAGACCAAACCAACCCAAACCCAATGCCAATGAAACAAACTACTAAGTACTTATCCCCCCAAAAGGAAGGAAACAACAGTTCCCGTCTGTCCTTCCAACCACGGTAACAGCCAAACACCACTCAAATATCCAACACCCCCTTCGATGTATCCATTCCCTAAGTACGTACTTTCGCAGTAGTCCAACTTAACTACTAAATACTTGAAACTATAGAAAGATAACACTATCTCGATCTCGATCGTCATCCATCATGATTGGTCGATCTATCCAACCACGAACCACCACCGACATCCTACACGCGTCGAGTTTCATTTATCCCGGTTTTTATTAATTCGGTTTTCATGAAGGGAAATTACATCTATTCTATGCCATTTCTCAAGCCTCTTTTTCTATTTCCCGGATTTTTGTTTTTCTTCTGCAGAAAATTCGCCTGATCGAGGCGTGGAATACGAGGTTCTGTGTGGGTGTGCATGTAGGTACTTTTTTTAATTCGAGAATCTAGATTGTGGCTCTTTATCGTAAGTACTATCTAGGTAATACCAAAGTAGTCGTAGTTAATGTGGAGGAAGCATCGTGCATAGCATAGATGATTCATACTGAGTATGGTGAATTTATCAACTCAGTTTTCATTTCTAGATCTGGACATGAGCTATATTCTAATGCACTAAAAGAAATCCCAATTTTACTCCAAACCTGAAACTCCCGAGTATGCAAAGCCAGCCACATACTGTGTGTCTCTCAAGCGCACACACCAATAAAGCCAAGGCAGTAAGTAGCAACTAGTACCAACTAACCAGCGATGTGTATCGGTACATTGAAGGTGCCATAGCACTGCATATGTCAAGAAAGGAAGATCCGCATCTGTGACCCCAAGTTAGTGTGAGTGATTTTCAAATTCTCGGGGAGTTTTAAATATGATCCTATACCTTTTGCCTCACAGGCGCTCGGCATATCACACACGGGGGCTGACCCCCAAGCACGCCTCGTTCCAGGACGCTGCTTGGAATCTGGATCTCGGCGCACCATCGACAGAGGACAGCATGGCCACAAGGAAGCAGTACCGTATCAACGAGTTGGGTGAAGCAAACTTTGCATTCGAGTGATACTCGCATTTCGTGCGCCTCTTTTGGTTCGGAGCGGCCGTCTTTCGCATTATCAAGACTTGCGGCTGGCTTCGTGGGGTTGGTACCGAGCCCCTGGCGCTGACGGAGCAAGCGCTGGCGCTGCAGCTGCATATGAGCCTCCACGATGGCCTGCGCAGCCTGCTGGTTGTGTGGATGGGCGTGGAAATGTGCTCGCCGAGCAAGCTCTAGCCGTTGCGGAAGAGGACGCCCATATCTGGGGGTTCCCGCATTCATCGAGCGTGAAGACGGCGTGCCAGTTGCTACAAAGTTGGCCGACGATGACTGGGCAGGCGTTGTAGCTAGTGGGGCACTATAGGCGCCATTGTCTTGTTCTTCAAGATAGGGCGGCATATGAGAGAATGGACCAGATGCATGCGAATGTTGTTGAGCTTGCGACTGCTGATGATAACTTGACGACGTTGACCCTGGAGAAGCAGCAGTATGGGCTGGGTGCTGTGTTCCTTGCTGGGTCCTCGCTGATGGGGGCACGTAACCTCGAGGTCGAAGTGTTGGCGGAACCACTGCAGTGGATGATGTCGAATTGGCGTTGTTCGGTGACGCGTCGTTCGGTGAGATGGCAGATACTGATTCCGGCGTGGTCGTCATGGACATTGCTGGTCGGGTGTTGCTTGAACGCGGGTCTCGCTGGGGGTAGGCAGGAAGGCCGCTGTGCTGATTCTGTGGAAGTGAGAGAGTTCGTGTATGAGGGTACGCGAATGAGCGACCTCGATCTCCACCAGGAATATAATCCAGTTGATGACCGATATTGCTCGGCTCCCCGTAGTACTGGTTCGGCGTGTAACGGGGCATTGTTATGACGCCATTGCTCAAGTATGAGAAGTAGGTTCTCGGTGGTGTTTGCTGTGGAGTGAAAGAATCTGTTTGGTTTGAGGCAGCATTGGCTAAGAAGGTGTTTGGAGCCCCAGACAGACTCGCGACCGTAGGGACTGGAAAGCATTCTGTTATTTCACTTGTGAATAACATCACTTGCATCGTTGTACTGACCTTCTTGATGATATGTCGGACGCGGCACGTCAGGAATGATGTCCATTACGTCTTGGGTGTTAGGCTGGGCCAAAGTGGCTGAAGTTGGGGTATTTTGGAAGTTGGTATCGTTGGGAATCGCCGTGGGAAGCCCTTCAAAAGCAGGCCGACTCGCAGAGTCCATGAGTAATGGTCACCCTGACGCAGGCGTAGGAGTAGTGTTCCCTGGATGTGGTACGCTAATGGCGCATCAGCTAGTAGCTACACGCTTCTAGCTTCTATCAAGCGAGAGTTGTATTCTCACGAATAGGAGGCCCATGAACATGTACCGATGAAATCGCAATCAACAGCATACAGGGTTTAAAGGCTGTGACAAACACAAGAAGCGTAAATGGAGATAGTATACTAAGGTGGAGATGTGTAGAAGCGGTTCGCTTCACTAGAGCAGAGTAACTAGGAATAGTGAGTGGTCATCCCAGTGGGTTTCCTGGCAGTGGACCACAACCCAGCAGTGAAAACAGGCAATCGGATTATGCCTCCTTCCGCTGCATCAGACGATATATCCAAAGCCCTATCACTTTCACAGTGACTGGAGGATTCTTGCAGCTTCCTGAAATATGTGTCGGTAACAGTCCACACACATATAGACCATTGATAGGATATGTAGTCTCAATATGTCGAGATGGGCAGAGTGCTTGTCAATGCAGACTGAGAAGTGATGACTGGATAAACATAACCCGCAACTAATAGCTTAATCCAGGCAGGGATAGGGAGTGAATGCATACATGCTGTTTTGAATTTTGCCTTCCTGTGGTCCTACTACCGCCGAATATCGGTCGGGTCGTTTGGCTGGTTATCGCGATTATATTATATGCTGAAGGGAAAACCCATGAAAGCGGCACTTTCCAAAGTCGATAGAAGCGCCAGCGTCTCCGCAACAATCCTGCCAACGAGAGGCTGTGTCCAGGCCGTTCAATGTTTCGTACTGGCCACCAAATTCAGATTGTGTTTGAGATCATGATCTGAATGAGCCAACGATGTAATGAAGACACCACGAAGCAAGCGAGCAGGTGTGAGACAGTAGTCGGGGAGAAGCAGGAATTCAAAACAGGAAACCCAAATGGCAGCTGAAGCTTAACGCCGATGGATTCCCGGTCTCTCCTTAGTCGGACCAACTCCCAGCCGGGCCTGAATTCTGGGTTCTTGGGTTCCCAGTGAAGTTGAACCAAAACCTCATCGAAACGCAAGAGGCTTGAGGGGAAGGAAGTCAAAACAAGAGGAGCTTGTAATCACTGGAAGACCAGGCGCCCAGGCAATATGGAAGCTTTCTAGAACGACAGCAACAACGGATACGAAGGGGTAGAATGAATTATGGAAGGAGTTGCAAAAAGGCTGACAACGAGCAGTAGCACTTCGGGGACCAGATCACCGATCCAATCGGACTGGAAGGCTAGCTGCAGGGTAGATGGTAGTAGTAGGAGAGGATGTGAGTGAGAGAGACACGGAGAGAAGAGGCTACAAGATGGAGGACAAGCTTCCGAGTGTCTCACAAGAATAGTGAGAAAAAAAAAAGGGAGGAGAGCAGAGGAGAGAAAGAGAAGAAGAGAGAGAGAGGTTGGTTGGATTGGGAGGGTGTCAGTGAGAGGTTGAAGAAGAGACAGTCAGTGTCACCGTCGGACCCCGCAAGACACGGCGATCCGTTGGATCCATTCCTGGAAAGCAATCGGGGACTGGTCAAGTGATATTTAGAGGAAAGGGAAAAAAGTTAGTTGAGGGATTGGTTGGTTGGTTTGAATGGTACTTTGTACCTTGTCGACACGATTGGCATTAAGGAGACTACTACAATGTCTTGGGTTGTTGATCCAATAGCCAGTCAAAGAAGCTGTTCGGACTTGGACTTGGACGAAACAAGAGGCTACTCCGGCGTTCAGTCCCCGACTTTTCCTTTGTTTGACCATCCATCATCGGAGGTATCCCTAACCGATCAATCGATCAATCGATCGCTCCATCCATTCATCCTTGTCTGTCTTTGGGAGGATCGGAGGAGCCACCGCGTCTAGACTTTGGCCCGATGAGGGCAGTTCGGACACTGCGGAAACAAGCTGCGAAGCCGACGACGTCATGCTCTCCTTCCCCGTCTCTGCCCTGAACACTTTCCCCCTCATGTTCCCTTCAATAATCCATCCCATTAGCTCCAATAGCTTCAATAGCTCCCACGACTACGGTGCTATCACTGAAAGAAGGCTCTTAAGATAAGGCTCACGTCTACATCGCCTTTTACATGACTCCAACACTCTCCGATTAACGTTAAGCGCCCGTCCCTCTTCCTCCGCCCGTTCCACACCTCGGCTCGGTTCATGACGCCCGCCCGGTGGCTATCGGCGTCTGTGCGACTTACGCGACCAGCTCTCCTCCTTCGCTGCCTGCCTTTGACCCTCACAATGTCCTTCTCCACCTTTACCATTCCTCGCAATCTGGACCACAATGGCTCGGCCACTCTACCCGTCTCCTGTCCGGCAGACCTGTCTCGTGAAGATCTGCTGCGATTCCCAGCTTTCCGTATCTGGCTCACCACCTTGCAACACTCCTTGAGTCGCCAGCAACAACCCTCCCACGAGTTCTCCAAAGACCCCTACGTCCTGCGGAAAATCGATATCCAGAGCGTGGATCGCTTCGGTGGTGGCCGTCTAGGCTTCTTGAAGTTCAAAGCGGAGGTGTCAAATGAGAATGGAGAGACCCTCCCGGGAAGCGTGTTCTTGCGCGGTGGCAGCGTAGGCATGCTGGTAAGGGAGCTACCCTCTATTATCGCCTACTGACAACGTTGAGACATAATGCTAACGCTGCTTCTTTCTCTCCTTAGCTCATACTTCAACCAGACGATGTGCCTCCATCGGCAGAAGACGAGAAGCGTGCCATTTTAACCATCCAACCTCGTATCCCCGCGGGTTCTCTTGCGTTTCCCGAAATTCCAGCCGGCATGCTCGATGACAGTGGATCGTTCGCTGGTGGTGCAGCAAAGGAGATTCAAGAGGAAACAGGCTTGACAATACCACAGGAGGAGCTAATTGACATGACATCGCTAGCTCTGCAGTCCGTGCCAGAAGAGGGCGAGACGTTGCAAAAGGCAGTATACCCTTCGGCCGGTGGGAGCGACGAGTTTATTCCCCTGTTCTTATGTCAGAAGCGCATGTCGCGCAAGGAAATTGACAGCCTGCAAGGACGATTAACTGGGTTACGACAACATGGTGAGAAGATCACGTTGAAGGTGGTACCGTTGCGCGATCTATGGAAAGAGGGTCTGCGGGATGGGAAGACCCTTGCCGCGTGGGCTCTATACAAAGGCCTCAAGGAGGAAGGGCTGCTGTAGGGGATTTTCACATTCCGCAGCTGTTTGTGGGCTCTAATACTGGAAGCAGTAACACTCCCACTAATGTATATATATCGCATTCGACAGTATATCGACTCTCACGGCAGTGTCGTCAGAATACCATAGGATGTGCAGATCCATGATACGGGACGAAGACGGAGCCAAAGCTGGAACATCTACATACAGCTCAAAGCTTGAATCTCTTCGCAAGTTCGATTCCCTCAGCTATTGTGCCCACCCGAGCATCAATAGCATATCCCTCCCGCTCCAGCTTCTTCATGTCCTCAAATAACGAAGACAAAGGCACAGTAAAGCACTCAATGAACTCATTGTCTTCGAGCTGGGGCTTCGGGTTCTGATTCTCCGGCAACGACATATCCACCCGGACATGCACCATATTGAGATTGGTATTGCAGAACCCAGGGTCTGTAGACACCGTCAGTCAATACACCAACAATCCAACTTGAACCCATGCTCAAGTGGTACCGTAATCTAATCTAATCCGAAGATAAAGGAAAAGACAAGAAAATAGAATGAAACTCACCATTATACATAACACTACTAGTCTGCTCCGCCACACCAACGTAACCCGTCTCCTCCTTAAGCTCCCGCACAGCGCACTCCTCCACCGTCTCATTAGGATCAATCAGTCCCGCAGGAACCTCAATGACCACCTTATCGATAGGTGGACGGTACTGCTTCTGCAGGAGAAGTTCTGGCCCGGTTTCCTTGTTGAGGATTGTCACGATTCCAACGCCGTCAATCTCGCAGTTTGCGGGGCGGGTCTTGAAGCAGTTAATTAACATAAAAATAACTATAACACTCCTCATCGCAGAACTATCACTTCATCCCCCAAAGAAAGAATGCTTCAATTGGAGACCACCGGCAGAAATACAAGAAAACAAGAAGAAAGTTGCAGGGAGGAGGGTAATTCGTACCTGACGCTCCGCAGACTCCCACGTCCTCTCAACACCATTAGGATCCGTATACGATGACATGACCAGTCGAGTCCATTTGGCTTCTTTGGGGTCCTATGAGTACTTCCCGTTAGTAACAATTCATTCTGCATATATCAATCCCATATATAACACTATAAATTATATTAATCAACATCAATATGTACTATACATACCAACGGACCCCTCGACAGCAACTTCGACCCGGCGTATTTGGGATCGGACATTTTGCACTTTTACAAACAGAAGGGGTGGAGGGAATAAGTTGGTGGTAAGGGTATCGGGTCTATGTCTAATGGGTTTATATGGGGAAGGTGTAAAAGATTAATGATTGTAGAGGTAGGTAGAGAGTAAACAACTGGACTGACGTAGCAGGAGGGGAAACTAAGCTGGTCAACTGAGGGGGTCACCAACCGTATTGGGTTAGAGGGCTAGGCCCTTATCTTATCGGGTTGGGGAGGTGGATCTGGATCTGGATTAAGAGGTTGGGGTTGGGGTATCTGGATTATTTTGAAGAGAGGTTGGGAAGGGTAGGAGGTTACTGGTATATGGGATATAGGTTGTGTGAAAGTGTGTTTGTAGTGTTAGGTCTTATGTGGGTGTTATGGTGGTTGTAGTTGTTTGAGGAGCATCGATGCTGGATGTAGATAGTAGCCATCTGGTAGTAATACTATAACAGGATGGCAACATGAAATTAGTATAGGAGCAGCGTTAGTCGATCATATAGACATTAATACGCAGAAGTACGGTAGCATTATAGAAGGAGCAATGTGTCTGGTTCAATACATTCTCATTGAACTAGCTACTTAAAAGAGGAAACTAACTTCCATCCTAGATTGGCCCATCCGTCACGCACCCATGACTCGCGTCGCTCACCAGCTTCGCATACTTGCTTAATGTCCCCTTCTTCGCCCGTGGCGCCGGTGCCGTCCAAGAAACTCTTCTCTTTTCCATCTCTTCCGGGGCAATCAGCAGATCAACCACTCTTTGCTCCGCATCAATCACGATCCGATCGCCATCCTTCACCAGGGCGATGGGCCCGCCCTCCATAGCCTCAGGCACAACATGCCCGATCAAGAAGCCATGACTACCTCCAGAGAATCTCCCATCAGTGAGGAGCGCAACGTCCTGACCTAATCCGGCACCCATGATAGCTGAGCTGGGCTTGAGCATCTCAGGCATACCGGGACCACCCTTGGGTCCTTCGTATCGAATAATGACGACGGTTTTCTCGCCCTTTTTGATCTCACCTCGCTCAAGAGCCTCGATGAAAGCATCCTCATAGTCGTAGCATTTGGCGATACCTTCAAATCTAAGACCTTCTTTGCCGGTGATCTTGCCAACCGAGCCGCCAGGGGCCAATGACCCACGGAGGATCTGCAAGTGGCCGGTTGGCTTGATGGGATTGCTTAGGGGGCGGATGATAGGCTGGTCAGGTGAGAACTCGGGCCATGAGGCTACATTCTCTTTCATGGTTTTGCCAGTGACGGTGATTCCAGAGCCGTCGATAAGACCTTCCTTGAGCAGGAACTTCAGCAGTGCGGGCGTGCCCCCGACCTTGTACAGGTCATGCATGACATACTTGCCGGAAGGCTTCAGGTCGGCCAAGAAAGGTGTCTTGTCTGACACGGCCTGGAAGTCATCGATGGTCAACTTGATCCCGACGGAATCAGCGATGGCGATCAAGTGCAGTACCGCATTGGTGCTGCCTCCAAGAATATTTACGACAATCATGGCATTCTCAAATGCCTGCCGCGTCATGACGTCCTTGGGCCGAATATCCTCCTTCAGCAGATTCTTCACTGTCTGGCCAATATCCTCACACTCTGCCCGCTTACGTGGATCCTCTGCCGGCGTGCTGCTGCTTCCAGGGACAGTCATACCGAGGGTCTCGATGGCCGTTGCCAGAGTATTAGCAGTATACATCCCCCCACAAGCACCAGCACCGGGGCAAGCGTGTCTGATGATATCGAATCGTTCCTTTTCGTCGATCTCACCAGTGAGATACTGACCATACGACTGAAAGGCGCTGACCAAGTCAAGTGGCTTACCCCCCGCACTGCAGCCGGGCTTGATACTACCACCATACACCATGATACTCGGGCGATTAACCCGGCCCATAGCCATTAACACACCTGGCATGTTCTTATCGCAGCCAGGCAGCGAGATGTTAGCATCGTACCACTGGGCGTTCATGACCGTTTCAATTCCATCGGCAATGATCTCTCGGCTCTGTAAACTGAAACGCATGCCAGATGTGCCCATACTAATGCCATCAGAGGCGCCAATGGAGTTGAAGCGCATGGGGACCAGGCCGGCTTTGGCTACCGAGTCACGGACCAGCGACGACAAATCCATCAAGTGCATATTACAGGGGTTTCCTTCAAACCACACTGATGAGATTCCAACCTGTGCCTTGGACATATCTTTCTCAGTCAGACCGGTCGCGTAAAGCATCGCTTGAGATGCACCCTGGGACTTGGGCTGTGTGATCTTAGAGGAGACTTTGTTCAGTGTTTCGTCGGCATAACGATGTGCGGTTGAGGAGAGAAGACGACTGTATTGACATGACAGGATTCACCGTTAGCATCATGGGTATTTGTACGAACTGTAGGGTATACAAACGAGGATGATTTTCTTTGTGATGGCGTCCGGCGACCGAACGCCAGAGCTCTGGCAGCTCGGGACGAATTCGCAGGTGTGATCATTTTCTAGCCTGTAAAGCACACCAGAAAGGATATATGACTTGCTGCTCTTTCAAGGAATAGAAGTGAGCCAGACGAAGCTGCAGGTCAGGTTATATAGTCTCAAGGTCTTCAAAAAGCCTAGCCGAGAGTGGCCCTAGTTCAAGTGAGTCATTATACCCCTGTAATATCTGAAATATCAGCCATTACTTGCTTCGCCCATGTCTCCAGGTAGCACGGAGCTATTACAAAGTAGAAACAGCAGACTTGCGAAGAATTATGATCATTGGACGGAGAAGGACAGGAACCACCTTGTTCTACTCCGCAATGGTCGAAGGATCAAATGGTTGCATGGGCGCATCTCCAATCAAGACGCAGATAATGCAGCCGATTATCCGACTGCCAGACACTCGTTTATGTCTGGCAAGAAATAAGCTGGGTTTGAGTCTGGGGATAAGCAATAAAGTGATGGTCGAGGGTCGTCTATAGATCCTTTGAGGCGATCCAGGCCCACCCGGCCGGAGTCGAGTCGCAGCTCCCCGGGTGGATACTCATCCCTGCGATCACGCCTAGCAGTTCAGTAGGTTGCTACTATGCACTTTGTTTACGTTTGGGGGTGCTTGAGTTTTGAGAATATACTCTGAATAGGATTTCTACTAATGTTGTTTTACTTGAAGGAACACAGTGATAGATAAGCTCTATTTCATTTGCGCGGCGCCCAGAGAAGTACCTAAATCCATGATTACCTCTTTATTAAGACATTGAGTAACAATGTAGATATCCCAGTCTTGAAGCGACTCATGCAGATGAGACAAATAAGCCACATGGGTTATCAGACGACGGCTCCCCAACAATGTGAGTGATTGTTTTCTGCGCGATGGACTAAGGTAACAAACTCGGTCGTGTAGAGGGCCTGAGGCAGACTAAGCGGCGTCTGAGATGTCACCATGTGAAATGAAGGAAGTGACCCAAAACCCCGGAACGGCCAGCGCGCTTGCTATCGTAACTTCGTGCTCATAATCGTAACTGGCGTACAAAACGGCCCCATCTGCTGGAGATTCAGGACTCCTCGATTTCTCGGAGACATTTCTGGAATTCGCTCCAATCCTTCATGATAACCTTGGCACCCAGCCCTTGCAAAAGTTGGGACATTTCCAACTGCTTAGCGTCACCGTGGTAGCTTCCGACATAACCAATGACTGGGATTCCAGCACGAATGGCACTAAGTGCACCAGACTTGCTGTCCTCGACAGCGACCACCTCTTCAGGCTTCTTCTTGCGCACTTCGAGGGCATGGATGTAGATAGCCGGATCCGGCTTCGAAGTTGGCTTGGGAAGAGAGGTGGCTGCGCTGAACACGGCGTCTTTGTCGAAATACTTGTCCTGTCCGACCTTCGTGATCGAAGCACGGACACGGCGCAAAGCAGACGAAGAGACCACTGCTAGACCATACTTCTTGGACTTGAGAAGCTCGTCAAGTTCAGCGTTAACACCCACACATGGCTGAGCTTTATCAGTCAGCTTGGCGATGACCTTATCCTCCTCCTTCTTCACATATTCCTCGAGCTCCTCCTGTGACAACTCGAACTTGTACTTGGCCTGGAGGGAGACCATCATTCCTCGAAAGTTCTGGCCCACAAAATCCTGGATAAGCTGCTCTCCCGTGTAGCGATCCGAGATGCCCTGCTTTTCCAAAATTTCATTGGCGAGATCGGCACACGCCTCGAAGGCCAGCTCTTCCGAGAGGACGAGGGTGTTGTCACAGTCGAAGAAGATCTCAGTAATCTACAATGAAGGTTCGTAAGCACATTATGTTCATGCCAACATCGCATGAAGAATTGATAGCTTACCTGCGGCATGATGTATGCAAGTCTAGTAGATCTTTTCTGAATTGAGATCAAGAATGTTGCACAGCAATGACAGTAGAGGAACGTTTATGGAACGAAGCGAGATAGAAGCCGGGGTGGGGATCGACTTTGTAAGGTGGAAGAGGATATGACAGGAAAGGGGACGGTTGTCTTTTTCTAATTTGTAGAGGAAGGAAGGACACGAAAGGTCTGTGGGTAAGTTATCTGAGAAAAGTGACAGAAGAAGAGGGGCAGAGACGAGGGTATTCACTTTGTTTAAGTAGTATTGGAGGGGACCAATACAAAGGAAGCCAGCGGGTGAAAGGGGTACCTAGTAGTTATGGGGAACTCAGCCACGGAATGAGTAGGCTTGAACCCACTGCCCGTAATAGAGATCCAGTAGAACCGAAGAATGACTAGAAACCCCCGAGGGAATCCCCAATTCCTGTTGTACACAGTCCCGGTATCCAAGGTAGGAGCGGGGTGCCGGCCCTGACTTCCCTGAGATCATACATTTGAAAAAACACCCATGACGTTATCAAAAGGCCGAATTCTAGTACTAGTGAAAGATGCTAAACCGATTCAGGCAAGCACCCGCTGCCATTCGTCGTTCGAATCGCGCTCGGATGCCCCTCTTCCTTTCCCGTTGAGGCATAGCGGTATCACCCATGGAAAGGCACCGAATCCTCTCTGCCCATTCTTGTCGCCTTCAATTTCCGGTTCCTATTCTGTCGACGCCTCAAAAGCCCAATGATGAAGCGCAGAGCCAATCGATAGGATTCCATGGCAAGTTTATCGACATCCCATGTGCTGGGGGCGCCATATTGCAGATGTGGAACCATTTTGTTCCTCTACTTTCTTTGCTATTCACAACGATTCTTTCCCCTGTCAAGTAGGCAAGATGTATCGGCAGAAGTGAGAGAGTTTTGTGCTCCATACCGTTTGTTACCAAACTTCACTTACTACCCAGTACCGTATCATGCTAGGTAACCTTTCATACCAGTCAGTCACCGGGTGTGCTCATGCGAGGGGGGTATACTCGGTAACAGTCTTCCTTAGAATAATGCCTGGAACTTCGTCCGTTGACTTTGTACATCTCCCGGAGCACAGTATTCCATTCAGCTACTGCTAGGCCAGTTTGTTTCCTGTCTGGACTGAGCAATAATACGTCGCCAAGGATCGGACCACGCATAACTCTCTGTACGCCAGGGCATTGCCCGGGTACCCTCAATAATACTAAGCTGTAGTAAGATAGAGACCCCATGCGGTCGGATGAAACCGTGCCACTAGGGAATTTTCGTATACTAATGCAACTGCCCAATTTAGTTGTTGCGAAGACGGGACGATGAAAACCAAATACAATAGTCGAGAGTGCTCGGGCTTCATCCGTCATCAGTAAGATATCTACTAATCATCTATGACTGCAGCTAGTTAGAAAAACTCCGAAACTATAGCCGACAAGACATAGTATTGTTTACTACCACATGTTCCTGGAATCATCCTCCTAAGCATGTAAGTAGTCCCCCCCTGTAGGTACCATCGATGGCTGTGCTCCACCCCGCGTGAGGATGGCGTTCGACTTGTCGGCACCGGCCTTAAATGTGGGCCGATCGTTGGCCGGCGAGGAAATTCTAATGGCGCTTGCATTAGAGCCCCTCATTATTATCGATCGCATTTGATCCCATTATTCTCATTACCACTGGGCAAGTCAAAGCCTAGTGTGATATTGTTTCCTGCTTCCCGAGGCATACTGTAACCAGATTCGTGAATTTTACGTACCAGTGTCTGATTCCACTGCGAATACGACCCGACAGCTGGCCCTCAAGCCAATACAAAGCACTCCGGGCAACATGGGATCTGCTTCTGGTTCCGATCCCTACCCCGTGTCTATTTCGTCCCTTCACTTCCCCTCCGCAGAGCAACAATCGATTTCTCAGACGCTATCTGCATTACGACGATCAGCTCTCTCCGTCACCAACCGCCTGCGTTCCATCGAGGCCGACGCGGCCTTTGTCCGTGAGGTTGCAGCCCATTACGACCTTCCTCTCATCGCCAACGAAAGATGCGGGAGCTGGTACATCCCGCCTGAAGTCAAGTCTGGCAGTGCGTACTTCAAGAGTACAGATGGTCACACGGGCCAGTGGGATTTCAGCTTTCGCAGACTAAACTTGCAGCTTCTACCAATTGCCAGGGAACATGGAGGGTCAGTGATCCTGTCATCCATCTTTTCCTGCCATCCCTGCTGATCGTTCTGCTTTGGGCTAAGTGAATGGCTGACCCTTATTCGTTGATACAGTTGCATTATCGTGGATTCCACGCGCCGGGGTAAATGTAAGTAACCAGCTACCCCCTCAATGTCATTCGTGCACCGATTAACGAGGTATGCGCCAGTGATGCCTGATGCGCTGTCTAAAACTGTTCCAATTTGGTGTGCCGTCATCAACAGGGCGCTATTTCCATCTGACACTGCATATCACGCGGTGAACTTTCCGCCAAATTATCTGGGCGCCTCTGAAGAGTCCCAGATTGAGCGGAGGATTGACGGCTTCGTCAAAAACCTCGAGGTAACTCATTCTCTGCTGTGAAATGACCCATAACTCCCATGTGTGCTGATAGGCTGCTAGGACCTGAAACTCGATCTGGGTGAACTCAAGCAGCAACTTGGAAAGCCTATTCGGGTTGCATGGGCCAACCGAGCCTATTTTCATCCGACAGATCTGCATAAAGGGGATGACTATCGCCTGTTTGTTCTCTGTTCCGCATCGAAAAGGGTCCATGGCGCAGAAATGTCTGAAGGCGGCTATATCCAAGGAGCAGGAGATGACAGCGAGAGTTGGGCCTATGGGCTAACTCCTCCTGTCTTTTGGGCTACTAAAGCGACCCTGTTCCAGCACTCAGAAGAAGATCTCCCGACCGTAATCGAGCAGCTGGTTGAGGATCACAGTAAAAAGAATGTTGATCAGAGAGCGATACGCATTGCCCCAACACGAAACTTATATCTCAGCCAAACTCACCCTCAACTGAACAACGGCAGCATGTTTGATCTGGTCATAGATTGTAATGCGAGCGCAGAAGGGGCAGAAGAGAACGCGAATCGCCTGAATCTCGGTTGCGGATCTTCTAAGCTTGGAAGCCGTGACCTGCGCAAACACCTGGACAAGGTGCAGGACTTCGTCAAGTCCCGTATGAGCGCAGATCCATCACGGTCATTGCTGGTGACATGTGAGACTGGCAAGGATCTTTCGGTCGGTGCTCTACTTGCAATATTGTGTCTTTTCTATAACGAGGAAGGTAAGTCTCTCGTCGATCTGTCAACCCGTCTTGTCTTTTTTATAAGGTGTCTCTACAGTACTAATAATACACTAGGCGAGTTCACTGCTGTTCCCACCAACCAACTGATCGGCAAGCAGTTCATTCGTCAGCGGCTCGCTTGGATCACATCCTCCAAACATGATGTGAATCCCTCGCGGTCTACGCTTCAATCGATCAATGCCTTCCTCATGCAACGCCCAGATTACTAATACCTGGAAGAAAAAAATTACCTGATAATCACAATTAATTATGTCTATAAATGGACGAACTACTCGTTCTCGACGGCCTCGACAATAGCGCCACTGCTTCCCTGGTCAAGAGCATTAAGCACCGCCATGTCCTCCTCGCTGATGTCGAAATCAAACACATCAGCGTTAGCCGCAATCCGGTCTGGGTTGTCGGTTTTAGGAAGTGGAACCCATTCCTTCTGCAGCGCGTAGCGTATCAGGACCTGCTGGGTCGTCTTGTTGTATTTCTTGGCCAAGTCCACGAGTGTAGGATCATTCGCTTTATAGTTTCGCACAATGGGGGCATAAGACTCGACAACGATTCCGTTCTTCTTGCAGTATGCATCGATCACACGTTGTTGGCACCAAGGATGGAGCTGTGCGATTCAATGAGTCAGTCGGATTCTCTTTCTATTGCACCGCAGTGACCAAACAGGAAGAGAAGTATAGGGTACTAACCTCGATCTGATTAACATGGGGCGGCCAGACTTTCGCATATTCCTTCATCTCTTCAATGTGCTTCACTCCAAAGTTACTGACACCGATACTCTTAGCCTTGCCCTCCTCCAGCAGCCTCTCCAGGGCCTGCCATAAGTGCTTGCGACCCGACGAGCCAGACTTGGAGCTATGAATCAGGAACAGATCAACGTATCCGTCCGGGCCACCAATCTTCTCGACGCTAGCCAGCAGTCTCTCATAGGTTGCCTCGGGCGAGCCCGCTGGGCTGAGGATTTTGGTGGTCACGAAAATTTCATTGCGGCGCAGGCCAGAGGAACGGATGGCGTCGCCAACCTCTTTCTCATTTGCGTAGAACTGAGCGGTATCAATGTGTCGGTAGCCAACTTCGAGAGCCTTGAGGCAGGACTGCACGCATTGTGCGGAAGGTGACCGATAGACGCCGAAGCCGAGGCGGGGTATTTTGACGGCGGAATTTGGCAGTGGTACCTCGTCCGCAAAGGAGTAGTTGGCCGGCATTATGAAACAAAAGAATCGAAATGGCAAAGCGAAACAAGCTTAGGGAATCTGAGATGTTCGGTATGAACAGGCGCAAGGTAACCAGTAGTCACGGAGTGAACCCGGAGAATGACTGACGGAGAGAGGGGAAGCCGATTAAGTTGAGCTGGATGTTTCGCGCGCGGGCCCGATCACGCCTCGGCGAATCCGATGATATCATCAGCCCACCCCTTTGCCGCTTGTGTCTCCGGCCACATCTGTTTTGATCTTCGTATACTAATAAGTATAGCAGGAACTACATACTGTGATGGATGCAGCATACTTGGATGAATTGAGACAATTACATCAATTCTCACTCTGGCGAGACATTCGGTCTTTGCGCCCCCGCACGGATAGGGAGCTTGTTGTTCAGGCTGGAAAGATGGCTAAAATTATGGGGCAACTGGTATCCTCGCCCTTGCATCGGGAAAGGTAAAATGCAGGTTTCTACCACGGTACTTTCTCGCGTGTGCCCTCCATGTTTATCCCGGCATTTTGAGACCTGTTTTACTGGGGTTGTCTTTGTGCAACCATACAGCCAGCAAAACATCGTGCTCCGAATCGTGGATATGCCTCCGGCAGAGGAAGACGAACTAGACATCCATCCATAGCCGGCAATGATCACGCCTTCAGGTTGGGCGACAACCTGAGAAACTAGTAACCCCTCAATCGTCTTGCAGTTCCATCGACATTGGTGGATTGAAGTCAGGCTGGTGGGTCACTCAAGAATTTGATCAGCGTCGCTTCGGAAAATTGAACATGGATCATCCTCCAGAGCCGTGCTATTCATATCGCAAGAAAGTCTACGAGTCAGACACCACTGAAGCCCGTCTCACCTGCATATCCCCTGGTTGGGCAATCCTTTCTTCGAACCATTGAAGCAGGACTGAAAGAAGACAAACGCTTGCAGAGTAATAGTGGATGGATGCCCATGCGGGAAAACTTGAGTGCTACGGTGCTTCTCTCGACACTGAATGGTCATTAAGCGCCATCCTTCCCCTGAACTACTACTAGTACTATTAGGACTGTACTATAAACAGAAACCGGGTCAACAATTGATATGAAAGAATTCTCTCAACGGGATTTGGACGGAGATAAATCGACGCTATATGATAATTCTTGGGCAAGCAATGCGAGAGAATGGGGCGAATTTACTTTTAGAAATTCTCCGATGATAGAAGACTGTGTGGCTGAAGAATGGAGAATGGATGATGAATGAATGAATGAATGAACGACTGAACGGGGGGGGATGGGATCTGAACCTACCGGCAGCAGCCGACCGGGCAGGACCAGCGGCGGTTGCTGTGGGGGTGGAAGTTTGTTGACAGGCCCTTTTCCACTGCACGGGAGGGACAGAGACAGAGAGGGAGTGAGTGAGAGCCCCTTTAAAAGCAATGAATGGGGCCTACTTTTAAGTGCTTAACTGTACTAAGGCAAGGCTACTAACTAGTAGTCTCCCTCACGCTCCAGGCTCCAACTAGCAAATTAATCAACTAAATTTCCTAGTTTCCTACTCGATGATTATTCATTCTGCTTAGTTCTTTCTTTCAACTCTGCGCCCAACCGCCGACTATCTATCTAGGCGATTCGATCTCTTTGAAACCGGCGAATCGCAGCCCACCCCTTCCCACTCGTTCTAGTCACCTCCGTCCTGAAGATCCTGCCTTTTCTATTCAAGTCGGTCTCCGTCGGCTCCATCCATTAACTCACTGGATACCAGCCTCCAGATAGACCGCAAACGCTCCCTCAGTCCGTGCTTCAATCGCCCAATTTCTCCCCGCCCGCCCTGGATGTTCTCAACCACCCTCGCCATCCATCATGTTGACAGTTGAAAAGCAGTGGATTAATGTGCAACAGAAGACCTTCACCAAATGGTTGGTTCCCTTTCTCATTCTACCCTAATTGCATACTGGGGAAGAGGCCTTCTCCAAATTACCCCTCTTGCCCTCACATGCCCCGAAATATTTTTTTCGCTGTTTCTTTGTTTTCCTTCTTTATGCACTCTCCCGAAATTGAGTAAGCTGACCCTGGTTTGTCTGCAGGCTCAATGACAAGCTCAAGGTGCGGAAGATCTTCATCGATGACCTCGTGGTCGACCTTTCCGATGGTGTAAGTACACCCCTGCTTCCGTCCTTGTTTGGGCGCCAACCCCTGCGGCGAACTGAGGGAAGCTCCGGTTGCTAACGATTCTTATCGGAACTTCAGGTTATCCTTATCCATCTACTCGAAATCCTCGGTGGAGAGTCACTTGGTCGATATGCCTCGAAGCCAAAGTTGCGGGTGCAGAAATTCGAAAATGTCAACAAGAGTCTCGATTTCATCAAGGGAAGGCGGATCCCGATGACGAACATTGGAGCAGAGGATGTTGTGGATGGAAATCGGAAGATCATTCTGGGCTTGATATGGACACTCATTCTGCGATTCACAATCAGCGACATCAACGCGGAGGGAATGACCGCGAAGGCGGGTCTCCTTCTGTGGTGTCAACGGAAGACTGCTTGTTACGAAGGAGTAGAAGTCCGGGACTTCTCCACTAGCTGGAATGACGGTCTGGCCTTCTGTGCCCTTCTGGATATCCATCGTCCAGACTTGATTGACTTCGATGCTCTGGACAAGAAGGACCACCGGGGTAACATGAAACTCGCCTTCGACATCGCAGCTAACGAAATAGGCATCCCTGACTTGCTCGATGTCGACGATGTTTGCGATCAAGCAAGACCTGATGAGAAGTCGCTGATGACATACATCGCTTATTGGTTCCATGCATTCTCGCAGCTGGAGCGTGTCGAGAATGCCGGACGTCGGGTGGAGAAATTCATCAACAACATGCATGGTGCATGGGAGATGCAAAATTCCTACGAGCGGAGAATGAGGGAACTATTGCGCGTTATCAGAGTGCAACGTGAGGCATGGAAGAACTCTTCCTTTGAAGGCACATACAAGGACGCGAAAGAGCAAGCCCACCAGTTCTCCTTGTATAAAAGAAACCAGAAGCGCCAGTGGGTTGCAGAAAAGTCGGATCTCGCAGCCTTGCTCGGTAACATCAAGACTAAGCTCAGCACATACCGATTGCGCCCTTACCAACCGCCAAAGGAACTAAGTCTGGAGGTTTGCGATGAGGAGTGGGAGGGCTTGACTCGTGACGAGCACGAACGTAGCCAGCTTATTAACGAGACCATTCGGGATATCAAGAATGCCCTCCGCCGATCGTTTGCGGACAAAGCCAACGATTTTGCACTAACGTTAAAGACCCTGTCTCTGGCAATATCTGGTCTCGATGGTGATGTAGAAGACCAATTAGCACATGTCAAGAGACTCAATGACAACCTCCCTCCCCTCGATGCGTTCTTAGATACCATTGCGGCTCTGGACGAGCAATGTGCCGAGGCGAATATTGAGGAAAACGACTACACCACATATACTTTAGATGAACTCTCTTATGAGCTGAGCTTGGTCAAGTCTAGCATCTCCAAAAAGCTGGCATTCCTTGACAATCAACTCGTGGCTCGGAACATGACCAACCTGACACCAATCCAACTGGAGGAATTTGAGTCTGTCTTCAGGCATTTCGATCGCGACGCTTCCAATACCCTTCATGAGCTTGAATTTTCGGCAGCCCTCGCAAGTCTTGGCCTTGTATACGATGAAGAGGAGATGCATGATGTCTACGTGGAGACATGTGGACCAGCTCGACTTGCGCAAAACGCCGGTGTCAGCTTTGAGCAGTTCATCCGATTCATGGTCAGCGTCACTGAGGATCAAAACACGGCCGAGCAAGTCTATCAGAGTTTCCGCGAGGTTGCGGATGGCAAGGTATGTATCCCATCAGAAGTGCAAAGTGTTGCGTTTCATTCAAAATCTGACTTTTGCATTAGCCTTATGTCACGGAGCTCGACCTTCGACACTCTCTCATTCCCGACGAGGTAATTGAACATCTAGTCCAGACTATGCCGCCGCACAACGGACCGGATCTTCAAGAAGACAGGGACCTTCCCAAGTATGACTACATCAGCTTCATGGAGAAGATGATAGAACATAACAACAGCGACCCTGTGAATGGTGGGAATTGATGGGCTAGTACGTTTGCATTGCACTGCCGGAGTTTTGTTTTCTTTGTGATTCGGTCCTCTTCCTCTTTTCATTTGCGTGTCACCTTTCTGAAGAGTCTTGCTGGAGGTTGCTTTTGGTGTTTTCTGGAGCAAAAAGGGAGGGTTGTGTCTTCGGTGAGCTTTCGACCATGCATACAGGACTATGAGCCGAGGCGTCGTTTCTCTTCCTTTTTGCATTACAGCCATGAGTTTCTCCTTGTCTGCGCCTCTCTTCCTGCCATTGGGCTCTCGACGGTTCTGAGCGGGCACGCTTAGCTTCCGGGGAAGAAGTAGTTTACATATACACACGTTCCCAACAAAGCACTCATTCCAATATAATGACAACTGTCCCTGTAACCAGAGTACGATCTCATGTCAGTACCCCACTGGATTCTAGAACATTCAGGTCGCGCACCGCCAGTAATTAGAGGCAAGCAGATGGCCATCTGCTGTATACTACGTACTCAATCACGTGATAACGCTGCTTGGCCGGGCGGTCTGAGCAGGCACGGTCCGGCATGGATCTATTCCAAGCTCATCTCCGACCTTCATTCAGCTTTCTACTGTCCATCCATCAATTCCCACTGCGCACCCGTCCACAGTGTGAATTTCAATAGTACTCGATTGTTATTTTCAATTCTCTATTCCGACAAACACCCTCCCCAACTGTTCAAGATGGACCGCAGTTTGGACGAGATTATTGCGGAGCGTCCTGTAAGGTCCCTGCTAACGCCTCCGGGATGACAAGTCTCAGATGGTTTGCTAGACATCACACCCTGCATGTGCGCTGACTTGCCTTCGTGTAGCAGAAGCAGAATCAGAACCGCGGCCGTCGCCCTCCTCAAGGTCGTCGCCGTGATGGCGTAAGAAAGGTATTTCCTCATCCCTGTCATCATCCCATGAGCTGTTGCTGTTTCTTGCGTCTGCTTTGCGCGTGTCGATGCTGACCGAGTGCTTGCTTCCCGCAGGTCCTCCCTCCTTGTCTCTTTTCGAACATTTCTCGCGCATCGTGATAAGCAAATTTCGCTGGCCTCGTAGCATCGTCTCTCGCACAGGCAGACCGCCGCGAAGAGCCGCAGAAAGATGGAGCTGTTTACGTGAATACCTAGTGTGACTTCGAGCTGACCTTCTCTCTCTATTCAACTGCAACAGCCTCACAGAGAAGAACGTCCTGATTTGGATCTGTAAATACCTTTCCCCTTATTGTTTTCCGTCCAGTGTTACAACCCGAGTGATGGGATCGCTAATGCGTTGGCTCGACATACAGTGACTGGGTTCATGACAAGTACGAAGACGACAGAGATGGTGCGTTATACGACTCTCAATATGGCAGATAGCCGTGGGAATTCATCCATGTTGGGTCATTCTTAACACCTTACTCAGCACGCCCTTCTCGTGCCCCCCGACGTCCGCGTGGCGACCGCTACTCCCCCTCTCCCGAACAGTATGTTTTATCCAATGCGCTTCGGTGGACGAAGTTGACCTGTACAGGCACAGCACTGCGTCTAGCGGAGCTAAGCTTCGCGTTGAGAACATCCACTATGACATTACAGAAACCGATCTCGAGGTAGGCCTTGTTCCAGTCCCGACCGTTTTTCCCTACTGGGCTCTAACATATGCGATCTGGAAAGGACCTGTTCACCCGCATCGGACCAATCAGCAATGTTTCTCTCGTTTATGACCGGGCAGGACGTTCCGAAGGAGTCGCCTTTGTGACCTACAGCCATATCAGCGATGCCCGAACCGCGATCAGGGAATTCGACGGCGCAAACGCCAAAGGCCAGCCTATCCGTCTGACACTCATCTCTACCGGCGCCGGAAGACGCGACCGCAACCCATTTGACAACGTGGAACGCTCGAAGGGAAGCCTATTCGACCGCGTCGAGAGACCCCGTGACCGCGACGCACGGAGTCTCAGCCCCGGTAGTAGAAGCGGCAGTCCTGATGGAGGTGCACGCCGTCGTCGTGGTCGTCGCGGTGGTGCTGGCGGCGGCGGGTACCGGCGCAGTGACGTCTCCAAACCTGCTCCCGAGCACATTGACAGATACATTCCCGGTCAGCGGTCGCCGACTCGCAACCGCGGCGCTACGAACGGGCGCCGCCAGGGCGGTGGAGGTGAGAACAGGAGCGACGGCCGCCGCACGGTCAACGGACGGCCCAGAAAGACACAGGAAGAGCTCGACCAAGAAATGGACGATTACTGGGGTGGCTCCGGAAACGCTGGTGCTGGCGCAGCCGATAAAGAAGTTGTCCCTGACGAGCCTCAGCAAATTGCGCCGGCGTCTGCGCCCGCTGCGGGTGATGATGATATCGACATGATTGAGTGAAAGGCTCGCTTTCGATTTTGAGTACTCTTGTCTGACATTCACATCCACTTGCGAGGGCTTGTGATGGCTTTGCTTTCTTTTCATTACATGTAACTAGTATCACTCCCGGTTGGAATACAAAAGACGTCTTGAATAAAAAACCAAAGGAATCCGAAGGCATGCAGTTGACCGTACCATAACTATGGCGTATCGCTCGTTAATCGCTGCGAGTATAACAAACATAGCCATGGTGTCTATATTCCGAATATCTACAAGGTTTTATGCGTGCCGCCATAATTGCGTAGTGTATAAGCAGATCCATGCCACCACAGCTCGGCAGATGGGAGGATCGCTTTCGTGTTGTATTTCTCTTTTTGTACATCTTAATATGTGAGTAGATGGCTTCTCACTCTATCGGTCCATCACCGCCAGAGACCATACGGCTCCCTGCAAGCCTTCCACAACTTGATCGTTCCATCCTCACTTCCTGTACCGTAGAGTTTGCCGTCAGGCGAGAAACTGACGGACCAGATCGGACCGTGGTGACCTTTTTGGACCTCTGCGAGTGGATTGTTAGCCACATCGAAGTGAACGGTGATGAATGATGGGGGTATAAAAGGTGAGGGGGATGGAACGTACCCAGTTCTTCCTCCGTGCGGACGTCGTATACTCTCGCCCAGGTATCCTCGGCACTACCCGTGACTAGTCTGCTTGTTTCATTGTTGACTGCTGCGCTGGCAACCTCGTAGCGGAAATCGATCTTCTTCAGGAGACGACCGGGGCTTAGGCCGTCGAAGAGGTAGACGGATCTGCCGGCCGCGACGGTAAGGATTCCGGCGTCGTTGGGTCTGACGGCGAGGGAGTTCAGTTCGCAACTTCCGATGGTACCTTCCACGGCGTATTCGACGACGGGGTGGCGCGAGCGAAGATCCCACCATCTGATCTTGCGGTCTTCCGCGGCGGTCGTGAGGATGTTGTAGTCCTGGTTCCAGACGATCGATTTGATGGTTCCGCCGTGAACGCCGGGGCCAATCTCGTAGCTTGTTACTGCGGAAGGACTGGAGTCGGTGTTGGGGGTGGCACTCGTCGGTGAGGAGCTGTTACTGCCCCCACTGCGAGTGAGGTCGAAGATGCGGAGCTTCTTCTCGAAGCCACCTGTTGCGACGAGCTGGGGGGAAGGCTGGATTGGAAACGCTACTGCGCGACAGATGTGCGAGTGCTGGAGGGTGTGTTTGCATTCGCCGGTGTGGGTGTCCCAGATTTTACTGTTGTATAGGGAGGAAATTGGCAGGTTAGTGAGATGCGACGGCGACGTGCGTTGGAGGTGGGTAGGTAGGTACTCACGCGGAGAAGTCCGCAGCTGCGGTTGCTGCCAGATTCGCATCTGTCGAGAGACGAGCTTGCCATACTGCGCCCTTGTGGCCGAGGAAGGTTCCAATCCTATATGACATTGATGGTGAGCATGTGCGGTGTGCGGAGTATTCAATGCGGGGAACACGCACCAGTCACCTGTTATGCCATCCCGCAACATGGGGTTGTTATCTGGTAGATGTCAGCATAGGGTGTTGATTATGGTTCTGAGGATATTCACCTTTGCAGGCAGAGATTAGGTAGTACTGATCATCCTCGACGGTGGATGAGAAGTTGATGTGCGGCACGGGACGTGAGTGTCCGTGGCAGGTCAACGGCACAACTTTGGGAATGTCTGGAATGTGTCAATAGCCAATTGCTTTGAAGAATGGGCCGCTGTATCCACCGCACCTGACGCCATTGTATATAAGCTTCACTTGAGGTAATGTACAGAGTCAATTGCAATGTGATGAGTGTCGCATGCGATAGTAGGGGCCGTTAGATGAAGTGACGATAAGGTGTTCAGTCGAGACTGAAAGAAACCGTCTCTGAACTGTCGCAGATGAAGCGCAGAGTAGCAGTGAAGTAGAAGACACGAGAGATGAACACAGCGTAGAAGTACACAAGGAAATTCGTCAGTCTCGTCAAGTCATCAATCAGCCCGAGGTAGCGGGGTCGTTCTAGAATGATTGGAGGTGGGAGAAAGGAAAGGCAGGACAAGGAATTAGGTAGAGAAGTCGGGTCTCCCAGTTAAGGCGGTACCCTCAAACAGATGTATGAGCCACCGGCGCTTCTACAGACACGGTGGAGAGGGACTCAAGCCCGGAATAACGAGAACGATGGAGATGAAGCTGGTTGGGGGGAAGTTTGGGACTTTCTTTTTGATATTCACGCGAATCGTCGCCGGGCCGTTAGCCGCCCTAAGCCTATCGGGGACTAGTATCAAACGGCACGTGAGGGGTAAATGTCCCTAATCTGTTCCCAGATAGGTAATCTGGATGCATTCATGGACTTCGATATTCTGATACTACAACGATGCGCAGATGTGTGTTGAATCTAGAACAATGGCATTTGGTCTTCTGCACGTGCATCGACCCTGCGGGTATTGCACTACTAACATGCGATGTGGTCCCTAAGTGAGGAGGGCCATTTCAGCGCATTTTCGTAGGAAATCGTGGTATGGAACTCAGGATGGAAATCAGCATTTGTTCCTTATGGAAACCCAATGCAAACTAAGACTAGTAGTGAATGCAGAATGGCCACTAGTCGAGTACCCAGTCAAGCCAGGGTATAGCTCCATTCCCAACCCGATAGTACTAACTAACTAGCTAATAGTTACTTAGTAACATGGCTTATCAAGACTTGGATTCTAGCAACTTCTTCCCGGCGAATACACTGGCGAGCCACCGCCCACGTGATTGCCCCAGATGGTCCCATGGCCCTCCCTTTAGTCTCTAAGCAGCAGCTCCTCAGGTACTCCAGGTCAACTAGTACTACTAAGCAGGAACTCCCCCCCCTCCCTCTCTTCCCAAAGGTGCCTTGAAACCCTCCCGGCCATCTTTGGTGCCTCCATCTCATCCTTTTGGCTCTTGCCAGTTCCCCCTCTTCATCCTCAACCCCTTCTACTGGGATCTATATTTCCCTAATTCTCTCCACTGGTCTATGTATGCCTGAGTTCAAGATCTCCGCTTCTCTGGAGGGCCACGGCGATGATGTAAGAACGTCCCGGCTGTTAACGCTGGCCACCTTTCACCTTCCAACCCTCCATTGTCGCCCACTGACGCCTCTTTCTCACACTCTCAGGTTCGCGCCGTGGCCTTTCCGAATCCCAATGCTATATTCTCGGCGTCCCGAGATGCAACAGTCCGACTCTGGAAACTAGTCTCTACCCCACCTCCGGCATATGACTACACCATCACCTCTCACGGCCAGGCCTTCATCAACGCTTTGGCATACTACCCACCTACCCCCCAGTTTCCTGATGGACTTGTCCTCTCCGGTGGTCAAGACACTATCATTGAAGCCAGACAACCAGGCAAAGCTGCCGATGATAACGCGGATGCTATGCTCTTGGGCCATACACATAATGTCTGTGCGCTGGATGTGTCACATGATGGCGGATGGGTAGTCAGTGGAAGCTGGGACTCGACAGCTAGGCTATGGAAGGTGGGTAAATGGGAAACCGATGTCGTGCTGGAGGGTCATCAAGGAAGTGTTTGGACGGTGCTTGCTTATGACAAGGATACTGTCATCACAGGTAAGCGCGCGCCGTACCCCTGCACATATGACGGATGGGCCATTCCATGCATATGCTAACAACTCTCCAGGCTGCGCGGATAAAATGATACGTATTTTCAACACCTCCGGCACTCTGCTGAGAACGATCAAAGATTCCCAGGACGTTGTGAGAGCTCTTTGCAAGGTTCCCGCCTCCAACCCCACTGGCGCACACTTTGCTTCGGCGAGCAACGATGGAGTGATTCGTCTCTTTACCATACAAGGCCAACTAGTCGGGGAGGTGCATGGCCACGAGAGCTTTATTTATTCGCTGGCCGCTTTGCCCTCGGGTGAGTTGGTCAGTTCTGGAGAAGATCGGACAGTGAGGATCTGGGATGGTACGCAGTGCGTACAGACGATCACGCACCCTGCGATCTCTGTCTGGAGCGTTGCGGTATGCAAGGAGACCGGCGACATTGTCACAGGAGCCAGTGACCGCGTCACACGCGTGTTTAGCAGAAGCCAGGAACGCGTGGCAAGCGCAGAAGTAGTACAACAGTTCGAAAAGACTGTCAAGGAGTCGGCAATTCCGGAGCAGCAGGTTGGTAAGATCAACAAAGATCAGCTTCCGGGTACGGAATTTCTCAGGCAGAAATCGGGAACCAAGGACGGGCAGGTGCAGATGATCCGTGAGGACGATGGTAGCGTTACTGCTCACACTTGGTCAGCGGCATCACGGGAATGGGTTGCAGTTGGTACGGTAGTTGATTCTGCTGCCAGCAGTGGAAGGAAAACTGAGTATCTGGGTCAAGACTACGACTATGTCTTCGACGTTGACGTGGAAGACGGCAAACCTCCCCTCAAATTGCCATACAACGTCTCTCAAAACCCGTACGAGGCTGCGACCAAGTTCATCCAGGACAACGAATTGTCGATGAACTACCTTGATCAAGTCGCTCAGTTCATCGTTCAAAATACGCAAGGTGCAACACTTGGGCAGACCTCACAGGGTCCGACGCCTGCGGGGGCCGATCCTTGGGGTCAAGAGAGGCGTTATCGTCCCGAAGATGCGCAGTCACCTCCTGCTCCGGAGGCTCGACCGAAGGTCCTTCCGCAAAAGACCTATCTTTCCATCAAATCTGCCAACCTCAAATTGATCGCCAAGAAGTTGCAAGAGCTGAATCAACACGTCATATCCTCCGGATCGAAAGAGTTGTCGCTCAGCCCTTCGGAGATGGAGACGGTGGCAACCCTGTGTGGTCAGTTGGAGTCTTCAAATGTCGAGCAGTCTCCGGCAGTGGAGGCTGGTGTTGTTTTATTATACAAGGTTGCAACCGTCTGGCCTGTCGCAAGCAGACTGCCGGGTCTTGATCTTCTCCGTTTATCCGCCGCTGCCACTCCCGTGACTGCCACGGCCGATTACGATGGCAAGGATCTCATCTCAGGCATCCAGTCTAGTGGGGTGTTTGACTCACCATTCAATGTTAATAATGCGATGCTGTCAATACGCATGCTCGCCAACCTTTTCGAAACGGACGCGGGACGTGACCTGGCCACTAGCAGGTTTGAGCAAATCTTGAGCGGCGTCAAGTCCGCTTTAACCAATAGTGGGACGACGCCGAACCGTAATCTCACCATTGCCATTACAACCCTCTACATCAACTTTGCCGTTTACCTCACCTCTGCGGGCAGAGAATCGATGCCTGAGTCATCGGAACAGGCTCTGGTCCTTCTTAGCGAGCTAACGACAATGATTACCGGTGAAAAGGATTCTGAAGCAGTCTACCGCGGTCTTGTGGCTCTAGGAACTTTGGTCAAGGGACTAGGGGAAGAAGTCAGGACTGCGGCCAAGGAAGTGTACGATGTTGGAGATGTTTTGAAGAAGATTTCAAGCTCGGGTCTTGGTAAAGAACCAAGAATCAAGGGTATCATAGGCGAGATTAAGGAGTCGTTATCATGAAGGTATAGCATGTTAAGGCCCGGGTCTTAAGACGTCTCATATCTCATGGAGCGTCTGTGTTCTGCTTCACTACTGCTGTCTATAGCACGTATACATCTCTAGTTCACGATAGCGATACACACTACACTGCATGAATTCCATATTGGACATATTCTCAAGATATTCATCACTAATATTAGGTTTCGTATAGCGCTATGCAATTGATGTAAACAACAATGTAAACTCATAATTATTCTGACCTTCATCTACTATGTACCTAAGCCTCGCAGATAGGCCATTTTATTCATGAATCACCCGCTCCAGCCTTCAAAGCTTTCCCTCAGCATCAACCCCCACCTCGACAATCTGCTCGATACCTGGATACTCCGGCAGATCCAATTTGTATTTATCCGCAATACTCTTCGTCAGGAACCGTCCACCCAGGAAATGCCGTCCCTTGTAATACTTCACGCACGGCTTCGGCGCAGTCAGACTAATGAGCGCCTCCGGCATGAACTTCGATCCCGGGCCTTCCTTGGGTGGCCCGCTCTCAATGTCCCAGGAACTGGGCGCATCAACGCTCAGAACGGGGATACTGGCTGTTTCGATCTGGGAGATGATGGTTGGGAAGGGTTCGCGGAGGGGTCCGCCGAATGAGAAGCCGAAGATGGCGTCGACGAGGAAGTCGGCGGATTTGATGGCTACGGGGAGGTCGGAGATGAATGGGACGGAGAGGTTTTCCAGTTGTGTTTTGAGGCGCTGTATTGTTTGAGGAGGTTAGTAGGCTGGGGTGTGTGGCTGGAGAGTGATGTGTGTAGCATATATATGTGTTTGCAGGGTGGGCGTTCCAACTTCATGTTTCGGGTCATGTCGATGACATGTAGGGCGATTACTGAGGGCTTACCTGGTAGAGCTCGTTCTTGCCCTGCTTTGGATAGTAAATTGAGGGTTTGTACCCATAGTGAGCTAGATGGCGTGCGGCTACTAGGCCATCGCCGCCTGAGAGGAGGTTAGAATCATTGTTTGTTCTGTGACTGATGGAAATGGAGGGTCGGTTGAGGCCTACCGTTGTTTCCTGGGCCACAGATAACCAAAACATCCTTACCCGAGCTTGGTGGATGAATGCGGTAGACTGAGATGTCAGAGGGCCTAATTTTACAGTGTTGCTGGAAGGTGTCGCATTCTCACCAGCTTGAGAGACAGAGAGGCCCGCTAGTTCCATTAACTGGTCCAATGACCAGCCACCTATTTCCATGAGGTCTTTATCGAGAGATGCGGCATCTTTTGAGGAGATGGCCTAATTGGGACTCGTGAGTATAAGGTACTCTCCCTCTTGAGCGGAAATGGTGAAATTATGGCACACCTTCAACGACATCTTGGCGGATCTACTATAGTATCGAAATAATGCGGGGATAGGGTTCCGCCTGGGGAGTGCAGCACGGAACATACAATGGTGCCTTTTAAGTGCAAGGTTGAGCGTGAAGAGTATGCAGCAGCACTCCGATATACTCAATGCAATGGATAAGTGTAGGAAATATTGCTAGGAGGAGTGATTCTTTAAAGTGGTGTGAATTGCCATTGCATCATTGTTATCGGGCCCTCCCCACTGACCGACGCTAATCCGAATTGCGCATTCTCGGCCCGACAGATCTCCCGACCAGGCTGGAAACTGCCGCGGAGTCGGAGACTCTGGCCTGCTTGAGCTTGATCAAGTTGCCCTTTTGCCGTGCAGTCGTTCTTCTTATTTTTGCTTCCCAATTGCAGAAATCGCCCGTCAAGATGGTCGTTCGCATTCGCCTCTCCCGCTTTGGAAACCGGCACCAGCCGTTCTACAACATCGTTGTTGCTCAGGCCCGGTAGGTAAATTTTTTATGGATCCCGGGGATCAGTACATCGCGTTCCGCGAGCGATTCATTTGGGGGTTTCTAAGAGGAGTATGAGATCTAATGCTAATGGGGATTTTTTTTATAGGTCGGCTCGCGACTCGAAACCTCTCGAAGTTATCGGTACCTTCAACCCTATTCCGCAGCGCCCTACGAACCTGTCCGAGAAGGAGGCCCGCACCGCCAAAGCATACAAGGAGATTTCGCTTGATCGATCTCGAGCCAAGTACTGGATCGGTGTTGGCGCACAGCCCAGTGATGGCGTTTGGAAGTTACTAAGCCTCGTACGTTGCCCTGCCGCTGTATACAAGCATGTCCGCGAGTAGGAAGGGGATATGGACCTGGGTTACGACATTGATTGACTAATATTCGGTATCTACTACAGGCCGGGATTGTGAAAGAAAGCAAGAATGTGAAAAACTGAGGCGTGGATATCTGTTCACTTCGACATCTGTATACTTGCACGGTGCACTCACCTTCGAGCTTCCGTTGCTCGGATAGGGCGAGGCGAATACTGTCATTTCGGGGACGTTGGCGAGGGCTTTTCCGGAGTGGAAGAACTTTTCTTTTCTTTTTCAATATCATGCTACTGGCATTTCTCATGGCGTTTACTGAGAGCTATTTCTCCTGGAATTGATTTATGGGTCGAGAATTTATGTACATTATGTGAGTCGATTACGTGCTGCCTGAGGCCTCTGTGCTTGTGTGATATACAATATACGTTTTATCAGGCCTCTGCTCCCCCCTTTTCTCGGTATAAGCGTTCCAACGTGCAGCCAGATGCCTCATATTAGGTATGGCGGTTATGACTGGCAGGGATGAGGTTTCCGCGCTGCATGGGCAGGCATACGTTCCTTGAGCCTTCTAAAATAATGCTAAAAGCCACCTCCGGGATCAGTCAGGGTTTCCATCTGCGAGGTTGACACAGAGGCAGAGAAAGAGGGCAACATCTCTATGCTACGTTTGTGTTGAAACTTCCAGACACAGTCTGGTAGATCTACTCTGTATAGAGATAAAGAGATACCTTGTGTTCCTTTTTGCTGAGCAACAGCGGGCTCAATACGATCGAATTATTCATTTTCTTGCTTAGTTAATAAGGACAGGGGGCAGCAGAAAGTCCCGAGAAACTCCGTACTTTGTGCATCACTGCATGGCTGCTCCCTTGCGCTCAAGGCTGGCAGGTGACCATGCAGGCATCACCACTTGGCTTTTCCGTTAGATCAGCACTGTCATGAAGCAACGCCCAGATCGCCCAATCCGAGCCAACCACATCTGCGACAATGAAAGGGCGTTTGATCCTTGATGCACGTCTTCAGTTTCGGTGAATAAGAATGTGATGAGAGATTCAGAATACCCAGACAGAAGGAAAATAGATGAAACTTAAAAGGTGTGTGTACATTAGGTACTACTATCTATCGCGTCTTATCAGTCTAACTTACATCCACGTATCAGAACGACGAGTCCAACTTGGAAAAATGAATTTCCCACCCCTCTCGCAAACCTGGAGTATACATTACCTAACCTGCATATAGGCATCTAGGTGAAATAGCGCGTTGCTGGCATCTAGTCCTATGCTTCTGCTATGATACCTTGTAAATCCCGAGTCATCGGTGCCACTCCCTCAGCCGTCATCCATCCCGGGATGAGCGGCAACCTGGTGCACGGAGACATGGTACTCCGCAAACACTAGGGAGAAGTAAACATGAGGGGGAGGAAAAAAAATAAGACCATGCCTTGGTCTTCCTCTACGAAATACCGTTCATCCCCGGCACCCACTGGACACCTGAAAGGATTCCCGTTCCCCTCTCTCTCATTGTCCCAAATCCCAATCATTGCCCGCGCAATGAGGGTCAGTCATGGACCAATCCCGTTCTGCGGGCAAGGCACAGAACGCACCAGTCCCGAGTCCAGACGTCTGACGGACGGTGATGATTGGCTGTCGTAGGGAATTTCAGGTGGGAAGATCAGCGTCAGAGTTTGTCCTTCCCATGGATCTCTGGCAGCCACACCACCAGGGCCCGCTTCTCCCACTCATCCCTACTGAGGTACATGATTGTACCTATCGACGCTCATGTGTGTTCATATTAGCTCTTGTATGGGGAGGTCTCGTCTCAGCTAGACGTAAACTTTATGCCTGATTGATCAATGTTTTGATTGGTTAACTGGACTGGATTAATTTGAAGCCAGAAAACATCCAGGAAGGACATCCTGGTTTGATTCTGACTATCCAATACCCAGGATAACTGACTAGCTTGCTATGCGCGCTAATCGCTATTTGTGCAGATAATAAGAATGAGTCTTGATTTTAGCAGAAGAAGAGAAGATGGTAAGCATTTGCGCCTTGAACACTGCCACCGATTTTGTCACAGTGATGATGAGTCTTGTTATTTTATTTTTCCTTCACACGGTCAGCTGAGAGCATCGCCTATACATTCCGTCCATGGTCCATGGTGCCGAGGCAGTTCACTCAATGAGCCTTTTGAGGGCAAGCAATTCGGAGGTTTTATCGTCATATACCCAGAAACAAGCACATTGGGGCAAAGAAAAACATTGTGCTCTAGACGACTAGATCTGTAGCCTTACACCTAAGTACGAGTCTGGACTCTGATTCGAACGGTTACTTGTGGACTTCGGAGTGGATCGCTTGATTCTGTTTGATTATGTGCAGTAAGCTAGGAAGGCTTCGGGCTGTAAGGCAGGATGGCTCTTCGACATCCATGGGTATGCTCCGCGGGGTGGCTTTTGTGTCGTACAGAGCGATAACCCCCCCGTGATCAGGTGGATGGGGTAAATAGGGTTCCTATAAACACGGTTGGGATGATTTTGCCTTTATCACACGGGAAAGGTCTTCGTCATATATCTCGGGGGGGGGGGCATGAGTCAAGAGGAGGACTACGACGACTCATGGTAGTATTCGAGGTAGGACTGGGAGGTGAAGGGGAAGGCTGCAGTATAGCCCCATAAGTGCAGGCATGAGATGATGGCCAACTGTATGAGAGGATTATGCGAGAACCCCACCAGTGACTGGTGAGAATAGTAATCGATTCTCAGCCGTTTGACCTGACTGGTACAATCGGATAGATGCGTAGGTTGGTAGATGCTGGCTGGATCTGGATCTTCATGACTACTGTAGGTTCTTGACGTTGATGTTGTTGTTCATCTAGATTTATTGCTGTCCGCACCCTTGTGGTTCGATTGTAATTTACAAGTGACAGTTGTTGCTATCTAGTTTAAATATCTAACCATGAGTCTCCCTGAGAAGCCCCAAAATTGAATGAATGTATCATAACTATGGCCTCGGCAATTGAACTTAAGCAGATTGGATGTTGTGTTGAATGTGAATCTCTCTGCGTTTGAGAGAGGGCTCCTTCTGCCCTATTTGCCACGCGCCTTGGGGCGTTCAGGACACGCACCTGTGATGTCGCATCCGGATGCTTGTTCCCTCCTTTGTTTCGGTTGTTTGCGTGAAGGACTGCCGCAATCGGGTGGTCTTCCTGGATGGTCTGGATGCGAAGATGTTCCTCAATGACACCTAGATAGAAAACAGGTGAATTCATCGTTCGACAACAGCGAAACAGACCATGTGAATTTGAGATCTAACTAAACAGAAGTTGGTTGAATCGATGCATGGATGAAGAACAACTTTTCCAGGCACACACGGCCACCGGACAGATCCAAAGCACGCCAAAGCAAGCATCAGCACGGGATCGGCTGGCACTCCATTGATAGCGCGTCGTGTCATCTTAAACTGCCGGGTCGCGCTTCAGCTGCAAGCGCTCGTTGGACGGCGCATCTTAGTCACTTTTTCCTTTTTGGACCCGTTCTAGTTCGGGGATTAGTCGACAGGCCCTCAAGGGACTCCCGACTGGCCATCGCTTCATGGAACGGAGCCAGTCTCGATCCGTGGACCAGACCAGACGAGACAGAAGACGGTCGGGTCGGCCGTCCTCAGTCAATCTTGCTTTCTCTCTCTCTCTCTGACGCTTTGGTTTCCTTTCCTTTCCCTCTTTCGCCCCCTTCAACTTTACTCGGTTTCCTAGTATTCTCTTCCCCCCCCTAAAAGTCCAAAAGGACCGGCCAGTCCACTCCCTAAATGTAAAAAAGGACCGTTCCGGAACTTGACGTTCATTCATCTTTTTTTCTTCACCTTATTATTAGTTAGTGGTAGTATTATTATTAATTTCCATTTATTTTTTATTTTATATTTTTATTTTTATTCGCATTAATAGGATTATTGCTGTCTACGCAGTACGTACTACCAGATAACTACACCTACTCCTACGTACTACTACTATCTACCCCATAGATACACTACTACCCATTTCGCCGGATCCTTTCTCTCCATTTCCAGTTTCAGTTCCTACGGTTCCTTACGCCGATTGTACGGCAGCCTTTCCTCTTCCTCTTCCTCTTTCTTCTTCTCATTCCCTTTTCCATTTCCCTCTCTTCCCCCATCTTCATCGTCATCATCGTCATCATCGTCATCATCTACCCATTCCATACTTTCATCCACCTAACAATCGATCTATCGATTTCTTTCTTCATTGATTACTACAGTCAGAAATATCTCGTTCCCAGTCGATTAACGGATTCTCGGGTACTACTACTACAAAACACCTTGGACATTGATTTGATTCATTACATTGAGTCCTCTACTACTAAACAACTACTACTGCACTACACCACGAACTAAACCACTACCACCACGCATTCTACCAACGACTGCCTACGGCACTTACTTAACGCGCCTCCCCCTCCCTCTTTCTTCCCACCACCCACTCATTCCCTTCCCACCACTCACTCACTAAACCCACTAAATACTACTTACTACTTGACTTGCTACCAATCTCTCTCCCTCCCCCCCTCCTCCCTCCCTCCCTCCTCCTCCTCCCACCCCCCAAAACTCAACCCAATCTAACTTTATCCTTCCCCCGAACGGTCTTGGTCGTCGCCGTCCTTCCCTTCCTCTCTTTCTTCTTCCTCTTCCCTTCTTCCTCACCCACCCTCCCCCAACTTTCTCCTCCTACTCCCCCCCAATCCTTCGCCATCTTCCCTTTCCGTTCCCGTTCGCGTCTTCCATCCTCCCCTATTCTACCTCTACCTCTACCTTCCCAACTTCTGCCTGTACCATTTACATTTTATTTCTGAGTCGCATAATCATTCCTTTTGCATTTGATTATCAATTCATTTTTCCTTCTTCCATTCCCATCGTGTGTGTGGCCTACTTCTTGTCTCTCCCTCGGACACTCGGTCCGTCGCATCCTTACCTCCTTAAACACGCATACCGCGAGTTCAATTGCGCGTGTTGATCCATCGCACTTTTGCTTTCTCCCAACGAGATTGCGTCAGCTTTTCGATCCTATAATCTGGTTGATATACCATTTTACATTTTCTACTTGTTCCTGACACTCCTCTGGCTGAGCCCCTCCAGCCTCTGTCCCATCTGTCATCCGGTTGCCTCCCGCACTCCCTTACCTTCTTGGAGGAGCCCGTGCTCCCGTCCGCTCGTGGGGTTAATCGATCGAGTCAGACGCTTTTAGAATTTCGGTCCGTGAGGCATGAGTGGCAGTTCGAATCAGTCAACCCGTACGAGTCCAGGCTCCTACAGCACTACTCAGCGCACGCCCTCGGTCTCTTCGGGCGCGTCGCCTACCCACCAGCCGCTTTCGGCCTCTCAAGCGCCCGCGACGGCCCAGAATGCGATGTCGACCGACGTGTACAATACGCCCGCATCGCAGGCACCAACTTCGTTAGGTCCTTCGTTTACCTACCCTTTCTCCCCGATCGGCCCCTCTTCCACTTTTGACAACGTTTCCTCATCTGCTATGCGTCTGGGCGACTCGGATCGGTCGGCGCAGGGCCTGAATGGCTTTATCCGACCGACAAATGGAACAGGTGGCGGCGCGATCCTTATGCGCAAACTCCCGCGCAACACCAGTCGCGATGCTCTGCGCAGCATGCTCCTCTTTGCCAAAGATTTTGTGGATGCCGACTTCGTGCCTTCCGACGCTCCGGAGGACAACGGATACTTGTGTGCGGTCGCGCGCTTCAGCACCCTGGCTGCTGCGGAAGAAGCACGAGCACTTCTCGACGGCAAACCGAATTCGAAGAACGACGCCACCATGATTGTGGAAATGTTTTACGGCTCAGTTGGTTCCTCCTTGGTGCCCAGACGAAACACGATTGACCACACCGCGACTCGGGGCTTGCTGGGACATGTTAATGGAGGTTTACCGCGACAGTCGTCGCGCTTCAACGGGACTTTCCAGACCTTAGAGAAGTTGAACGCGACCACTGCTACCTCTGGTGATACCCTGCCCCCATCTGAACCTGGCTCCCGTCTCCACAGTCTCTTCTCCCCCCAGTCCCCGATCGGCAACGGCGTTCCCGAGCTCCCGCGAGTCAGTGGCAAATCGATGATTGATCAGGATATTGATGAAGATACTGGAGAGCTGCTCAAGGATCCCGTGGGCTATGCCGAAAACGGGCATTCGTCTTCTGTCTCTGTCCCTAGACGTTCCACGAACCCTCAGATTCTGGGTAACCAGTTTGCCAACATGTCTTTGGGTGGCAATCTCAATTCCCCTCCACTACCGAATTACAACCAAGGAGGAAACGCGCATGTCGGCGTTCCAAACCCTCCATCGACCTTTCCACAACCGATGAACAATAACATCGGGACGGGCCATGTGTTCCCTTATGGTAATCCGCATGTACCTCGCCATAGTCTCCCTGCAGCCAATCCGAACGACATGAACCCTCCATGCAATACATTATACGTGGGGAACTTACCCCCCGATACCTCCGAGGAAGAGCTGAAGGCTCTGTTCTCTAAGCAGCGTGGATACAAGCGTTTGTGCTTCCGAAACAAACAGAATGGGCCGATGTGCTTCGTGGAATTTGACGACGTGGGCACCGCTGGCAAAGCCCTGAACGAGTTGTATGGCGTGAAGTTATCCAACAGCATCAAGACCGGCATCCGTCTAAGCTTCTCGAAGAACCCCCTCGGGGTCCGATCAGGACAGCCTGGCTCCATGAGCGCGTCTAATGCCATGGCCTCTCAAGGCGGTGTGCCTGGGGGTAGCAGTCTCGGTGGAATGCATAACCACATGTTTTCGACGGTCAGTGGACCGCCACCGGGCCTGTCTGCGCCTCCAGGCTTGGTCCCTCCCGTGGCAGTTAGGAGCAACGGTGCCATGCATCCCTCCGGGAGTCCAAATGCACCATTGCCCAACAACGGTACTTTCAATGCCAATTCGGGACTTGGAATTCGGACAAATCCGATGAACGCAATGGTGTCCCCGCCACCTCAGCTCACCGGCGGAGCTTCGGGGCCCAATGTGGGTGGCTACAATTCCTACTACCCGGATTATATGATGGGTCGGTAGGAAGGTGCACGTTTCTGTGGAGATAATGTCCGACATGCTTGATGATCACTGGGCTACCTGGCGCATTGGGGGTTGTTATTGTTTCTATTTCATGAGCTAGATCAGCATTTGGAGGCTCGCCTTCCTCCTGGGAGTAAGGACCACGGGGCTCTCGCTTTTTCAGCTTTGCTTTCTGTGATTGTATTCCATTCGTTTGCTGTGCACTCCGATAGCATGGGATCAGGGGCGCTGTTATTATACATGTTGTGTTTGTTGTTTTTTCTTTTCTTGGGTGGGAGACATTGCATTTGTGCGCGTATGGGTTTCTCTTTAATACGTCCAGGAGCCCGTGTGGATTTTCATTGCCAACTTCGCTTGTTTCACTTGCCCTGTCGTCATGTTTGCACTACCTTCATACCCTGTGCCGTGTTGTTGCGTTATCTATTCAGATGTTTTCCTAATAGTTGCTTTCTCTGCCTTTCCTTCCTATGAGAGGGGAGGCTTCGATTGCCTGTCCGTTCTTCTCCGTTCTTCTGTGCGTGCTATTGTCTACATGTGGGAAATTGCCGATCGTTTTGCTTGATTAAACCTTTCAGCCCTTCGTTTGACCCCCTCAATCACGCAGGATGGGAGAAGGATGCGTTGGCCGAGACCAGAACGCCAGAGATCACGGAAATCCCAGAGGGAAATCCTTTGTACTGGATCTTGTTTGAGCTACCGACCACCCTCCCGTGTTGTGATACATTGTTTGCAGCCTTCATCTGGACAACAGCTAATCATTGTGCGGGGCGTTTACCTGGGTACCTATACACTTGAGATACATTTCTGGGACGTCATCTATCTGTCTTACTCTGATCATTGGGCAAGGGGTGTATCCCAAGGCATGTGTTGGCTGCTGCTGGCCGCCTGGGATTGTAGCGCATTGTTCCGTCCCTTATTCGCATCGTGTTTTGCAGCGTTGTTGCTCTTCCGTCATTGCTTGGGTTACATGGGAGTCATGGAGGCTATTACTACCCTATTTATTTCTTCGTCACCTTTGCTAGTCTTGATTCTTCTATTTATTCCCTTTGCCGGGGGGGATCTGTTGATGAGCGGGAAATTACCCTGGAAAAGAGGCGTGTTGAATTTGCTTCCCTTCTTTTAACTTCGCGGGAAATTGCTCTACATGTACCAGCTTCAACAATGGAATTGCACCGGTCATTCACTTAAGAACATTTGACAGTCATAAACCTGGAGGGAGAAAGTTCGTAGTTCCTGTTGGGAGCCCGTGGGGAATGAAGCCGAAGCCAATAGTGAGGATTGCTGGCGGGACCGTCCAGAGCTTTCTCCCCAATTGGGCCAAGCGCCGCACCACCGGTAGCTTCACGTGACCACCACCGCGCCGAAAAGTTTCTTCCTTTTCTTCCGTCGAGTTCGTGCCTTTCTTTCCATCCTGAACCTCCATATCATCCACCCTCCTCCTTCCCCTCCTCCACTAAACTCCCTACCCCGTCAATTGGATTGCTTCTACTCGGAATCTGGTCCATTGTCGTCAGATATCCTTGTACTCTTACCCACTCACCCCCTGTCCCCTTGAACAACATGGCACCCCGAATACAGAACTCGGTCGTCTCCAACTCTCTCCTCCCTTACCTTTCCACATCATCTACCTCATCCTCCTCCACATACCTTCCCAGGCTAGCTACCACATGCCCTTCATCACATGAGTCATGGCGTTCGTGTCGGTCATTTTCGTCCACGCCGGCCCCTCAAACTACTAGACGTCGCAGAGAGATGTTTGCGTGGCTCAACACCGACGCAGCTAAGTTGAGAACCCATACTCCAGGCTCAACAAACTACCTCATCCGGACCAATCCCAAACTCAAGGATTCGCCGGTTGTCGAGAGCAGAGTTTTCCCGGCAAATCCTGCCTACCGCTCAGAGAGCATTCTCAGTGAGGAGCTGCGGACGGAGATCTACAACCGGGTAGTAATAAATAAAAAGAGTGTGCGTGCTGTCAGTGTCGAGCTGAAGGTCGACATGAGGAGAGTCGCTGCTGTAGTCCGGCTGGTCGAGTTAGAAAAGCGGATGGAGAAACAGGTATGTTTACAGATCCTTCCAAGTCATCACCAATGCGTTCCCCCTCCTACCCTCCTGCCTTTCAATGCGGACATACCCGCGGTGTGCAATGATGAGAAAAATTATAAATTCGATTAGTCTTTATGACCCAGTTGACTGGGAATGGTTACAACGCCTATTTTTCTGATATACACCGATTCTCTCTTGTTGTTTTTACTATCACAAGCTCTGATCATGCTGCCTGTACTTTGGTCGAACGCAACTAACAGACTTGTTGTTTCAGGGTAAACCATTGGCTGTGCCCTACGCTCGTGCAATTCATGAAATGATTCCCGTAACGCCTCCCGAGCAGGCCCATGAAGAAATCAACGACCTCCCCGTCCACCGCCTCACCAACCCTCAAATCTTCTATCCCGTCTCTGAGTCCCGCCAATTCAACCGTGTTGACGCTGGCCGTGTCTTCTCCGCTGCCCCGGCTTTAGAACACAAGCAGCTCGCCAAGGATGTTGCTAATCCCTCTGAGGCCATCAGCCGGGTTACTCAGAACCCCTCGCGTATCGAGCTCGTCGGCAAGGGCGATGAGGAGCATCAGGTCCTCCAGGCAGCGGACGTGCGTATTCCGCACCCGCACATGGTCACAAGTACCCGTGACATAAATGAGGTGCCTAATGAGATTCGCCAACACCCCAAGCTCTACAAGGCTCGCCTCAGGACGCAAGACGCTGCCGATCAGGAGCGCAAGCGTCTCGCCCAGGAGCGTAAGGAGAAGCAAACGCAGCGTGTGCAGCCCGAGGATTCTCGCTTCGAGTTCCGTATCAACGACGTTGTCGTCAGCCAGGAAACCACCGGCAAGGATGGTCGCAACGCTCGCGCTCCTGGTCGCAGATACGGTGTCCCCAGCTACGACCGGAAGAAGGGCCAGGTCAAGATCCCCACCCGTGTGGAGGTCTAAGCTTGCACATCTTGACCTTGGATTACACGCCCTTCTTTCTTCGTCAATCATGTTTATTTCCTCCCCAATGACATGAAAGATCCCTCCTTGTATAGCCCATCCATCTCGCAGCGCGGTATGGATGGTGGATGTATTTGTATGCCCCTCTTGGTTGCCTTGTATTTCAGCTGTACGATACAGTCCTTTTCGACTGGTTGATCGATTGATATTCAACTTTTTTTTTTTTTTCGAGGAGCTTGTTCGGTTACTACCCCCACCCATTTTTATCTTTTTATTTCCTCTTCTACTTGGAAGCCATGAATATGTATCTATAGCCCTTTTACTATTATTTATCACCTACCTACCTCTCTTCGAACCGGATACTTCAATACTACACTACATATAAGAGTTGAACAAGATATCTATGTCTTTAATGGCTGTTTGTTTCACAATATGATCGATACACGATTTCAGTAAGAATAACAAAATGAAAGAAAAATAAGTTACATAGTGATATATAGTTCAAGGAGGGCAAAACCACCCATCCAATCGACAAAATGATCTATGTACATCAAGAGCAACTCTACGAAGCAGACACAAGACACAAGAGACAGAAGGCCAAGTCCCTCCAAAGGCGGCATACATGTAGATGCATAAAGATGATAAGAATGATAGCAGGAAAACGACAAAAACGACATCTCGATTCGTATGCGTGAGTATGCCACCTCTTCCATCCCTTGCCCCTTTCCCAAAGCAACCAACCATGGAAAAAAATATATCAGAGACGCCTGTGAAGTTGGAAATTGATCACGAACGAACAAACAAAGGGAATGAAGTGTATGACAACCGCGTCCGGGGTGGGGGGGCCGCGGACACCAGGAAGGCAAAGGAGCATAATAAGAAGAAAATAAGATCGACGATTGGCTATGCTGGGTATCCATTGGAAGACGCAAAATAGCGGAAAATGCGGTTTTGGAGATGAGATGAAATGAGAGAGGTAGAGTGAGAGATAGAAGATCAAACATGCACGTGATGTGCTCAATCACACAGGCGCGCAGCAGTCTGACAATCGGTCGATGTGATATTATCCCCATTAGGAGGACAATTGCATAGCATGAGGATCAACTAGAGTGCATCGAGATCTGCAGGCCCGTCTGGAACAGGGACTGATGTTACAGGACTGGCAGGTGAGTCCAAGCCCTCGCCGCTACCGCTGCCGGAAGAGTCTTCGGGTGTAACGTCGATGGGTTTAGGGAAACTGGGGGTTTTGCGGTCCTTCTTGGTGGCTCCTTGACTCAAAGTAGAGGATGGTGAGAGAGGTATAACAGGGGACTGTTTCCGCGAAACTCCGTCTCCGCCAGTTTGCATGGGACTCGTATGGCCATCAGACGTGGGCGAAGGCTGAGTGTCATCGGCGTAACCGCGCCATTTGCGCCAGCCTTCAAAGTCGATCAAGGCTTGCATGCAGCCCCATTCTGTCACTTTCTGCTCCAGCCATTCAAAGCGAACCGGCTTCGCAATATGTTAGCATGTTGCGATAGAAGCGCGAAAATGAACGATAGTCCGAGAAAATATATGCTTACCTTGGTCAAAAAGTCGTTGCAGCCAGCTGCAAGAGCCTCATGACGATCGCTCTGCAGACTGCTCGCGGTCAGGGCTACAATAATGACGGGACTCTTAAACAGAGACAGATCGTGTAATGTATCCTCTGCCTTCAGAGGTTCCCGACTGCCCGCAATTGCCGAGGGCGAGGCCGCATTGGCAGTGGCAGCGCTCGACCGCCCGTCAGCAGTCTTGGGAAACACACCGATACCGTTCAGGCGTTCGAGCCTGCGGATCTCCTTGGTCGCATCCAGGCCGTTCATGACGGGCAATTGGATGTCCATCAAGACAAGATGAAAACCACCCTGGCGCCACTTGTTCACCGCCTCTTCACCGTTCGCCGCGCACTTCCAGCGGACGCTGAGACGTTTCATAAAAGCTTCCAAGAGACGTTGGTTGATGTTATTATCCTCTACGATCAAGACGTTGATGGGCGGTACCGTGCCCTCGATGAGGCCTCCAAAGACCCCGCTTAATGCCTGTGCTGCGCTGGTCTTCTTCGGCTTCGCGGAGGATGTGGAGGGACGTGGACGCGGGGATGCCCCGCGTGCTGGAGGGGTAAGAGATTTGGCCTGAGGGGATTCTGGCGGCGGGCCTGGCGGAGTAGGGATGGACGGAGCAGGCTGCGGAGGGATACTGCTGGGAACGATCCCGGAGTCTACTCCCAAAGTTAGCAAGCTTCTTAGCAGTTGCAGGCGACGTCTTGTAGCTCGTTAAGATTTAGAGTTGACCAACCTTTCGCTGTTGGCGCCTGATTGAGGATGGTGGGTGAGTTGGTGGCATGGCGAGTCAGGGGCGGCCGACGGGGATGTCGAGTCCCGCGACTCCCTGGAGAAGGCAGCGGAGGGGCCATTCCTGTCGTCAGTATTGATATCGATGGGGCAGGATGAGCATTAACACTGGCGGACGAGGTTGACGGATGTGTCGGCGGCGTGGGAACACTGGGATTCGCCGGCATGAGCGGAAAGTACTCGCCATGCTCGCCCGGCTCGGAATGATGGTGGTTGTAGTATACTGAATGGCGTGGAGAAGGTTTTGGAGTGCGACGCGAAGGGATATCGATAATCAAAGCTTCCTCGATAGCTTGACCACCCGGGTAATATGTGTCCACCACGCTTGCCAGCGGCTCCTCGGGGCTTAGCATGCGATCAGGAGTAGCCTGCCTATTCGATCCATCTCGCGGAGTAATGCGAATGACAATATCGGGGGCATCGAAGGTTCTGCCAAGCGAGTTCGAGTACTTCAAGATCACCTGGTCCCGTAGCTCGTCCACCAAAGAATCGAGCGAGATGGGGACCAAGGTGGCCGATCCGCCTGGCCGCTTGACCCAGATCTTGCGAGACATGCCTGTACTGTAGGTGGCGGAGCGACCGTTACCGTTAGTCTCAGGCTCTGCGGTCAAACCAGGATCCAACAGGCTGTTGATCAGGTGTTGATGAGACGGGGCCAGCAGCGACTGACGACGGGAGCCTAGACTGGGACGTTTTGGGAAGGAAGGAGCGGGAGTATGGTTGGAGGAGGATTGAAATTCTGGTTCGACCGACGGAATCTCCGCAACGACATCCAACACGGGCAACTGCGGCTCCGCGACCGTAGGCCCCAGGCGATCGGAGCCTTGAGTTTGGCCAAACTGAAAAGAGGCTGAAAGAACACCACGATCAGAGACAGGGAGAGGAGGGGTAGGAGAAGGCGAAGGGAGCAGATCTGGCGATAGAGTTGTCGGGGGTGGGGAAAGGACGTGCTCGGAAAAGGGACCGTGACTGTGACGCCTGCAGGGCGCGGGGCGAACACGATCGCAAGAAGTCGTCGCGTCCAATTGCTGACGCTGGGGGGAAGCACTGGGACCAGCACCGGCACTGGCACCTGGAGGAACGAGGAGCGAGTGCCGTTGTCCCTCACGTTGTTCCGCGACCGGTTCGGGGGGAGAGGAGGATTTCGACTTGAAGTTGCAGTTCTCCAACTTCTCGACCTGCTTTTCTTCCTCCTCCAACGATCCCCTCGACCGCCCGCCTTTCGAGCCAATCACCGATGTCCGCCTCCCTTCAGCTGCACTCGCCCGATCGTCCTCCTCTTCTGGCCTCTCCTCCTTCTCCTCCTCCTCCTCCTCCTCCTCCTCCTCCTTCTTCTTCAGCTTCAAGGCTTGGGGCACAGCCTGTAATGATACCGCACGCCGGTTGGAACTGATGGGTCGCGATGGGGGACAATCCGCGATCGAATCGTCCAATTGTCCCGGGGCGCAACTCTGTTGGGCGTGGGCATTATGGGGATTGTTCTCGGCAATAATGTCGCTGGTGGCGGCGGGAACGGACGATGTTGACGACGATCGCCGCAATAACAGCTTTGCCTTGAGCTTGGCCCAACGACGGTCTGGCATCGTGCAACTGCATAAAATTGTCCCTCAATTCCCCGTGTGACAGGTCGATGGTCCTTTTCAAGTCTGCCTCCTTTTGCTACCGCAATGCAGAGGAGAGAAAAGAAGCGGACAATCAGCAGCTGACGAGATAGAAGCCCCAAAAAGAAAAGATAACGAGAAGCAAGAAAAAGCAAAAGATGATACACCCCCAAAAATAAATAAAAGATGGTGAAAGGAACGACACGCGGGAAAGGTCAGTGAACCCTCCGCCGGTCCAAATGGCATCCAAGCATGAAGGAGAGACGGGGGAAATGTGCAGCAAACAATGGGCCACTCGGCATGGCTCGATCCAAAGGAGCAGTACTAAAGTATGGAGTAGATGGGGAAGAAGATGGTAGTAGATACGATATTGAAAAGAAGGAGGGGGCGAGACTAGAAAAGTAAACTAAAAAAATGAACGACGGCAGAGACGCGGCCGGATGGATCGGGGGAGAAAAAGGAAAGGTGGATGAGGAAGACAAGGAGAGCGAGGGAGGGACAAGAGGACTGTGCTGTTGTGCAATACAGAAATAGTATAGCGACAGTAATCAAGATGGAGAGAAGTGGATAGCTTGAAAGATGACCACAAGAGAGGAGGAGGAGGGGGTGGGAAAGGGAAACAGCCGTTCTAGACTGGGATTGAGGAGAGGGGATGCGCTAACAGCCAAATAAAACAATCAAAGGCAAATAATCATGATAAAATAGATGATAATAATGACAAAATGACAAAATGACAATGACAATGGACCACTACACCCAAGACAGCATCAGAATGATTATCATCATCCACAACCTTTAATATTACTTACTCCATCCAGTTCGAGAACTTACAACAAAAGTCAGGGGAACCCGGAATAGAAAACCAAAAAAGAGCTCGGTTTTATTTTTTCTAACCCACGCTTGGACCCGTAAAAGCACCGGGCTTCCCTTGCCATTTAAATAAGTGTCAATTAAATAATAATCTCAGCTCAAACCCTCCAAAAAAGACTTAAGTCTAGGTAACTTTCAACGCAACCCAACGGCAGGCGCAAAGGTTTGTTGTCCGCGTTCAATTGCATGACTAGCGACATCCCAAAGGCAAACTAAGATCCCTTAGCACCGTCCAGCTGCCACGGCGCACATGCATCTCTGTCCAGCGGCCTGTCCGCAACATTCTCGCTGCGTTTCAGGCCCAGAAAATGGGTCTCGATGCATGACTATCTATCTATCTATCCATTACCTTCCTTTTCCTTTTTTCTTATGTAGTAGTAGTTGCCTCGCATCTTTCGGACCGTTGGGCGGGTCTCGGGTCGAGATGCCATATCTCAGATCTGTACTCCGTAGTAGTGTAAGTTAAGTAAGTACTTTATAGTAAAAAGTACTGAATCGGCGAATGGCAGATGCACCCGCAGCGCCTATCACCTGCCACCCATTATCCGCTGCCACGGATTTCAGGCATCGGCATCATTTCCCTCCGAAATGCTTTGCGTTACTTTTGGCTCCGAAGACTGCTGCTGCTGCAGCTGCACAGGGCTGTTGTTCCTTCGGTGATGAGAAATGATCCCATCTTTCTTATTATCCTGAGGCGTTTCGCCCTGATTTCGCTCCTCCAGCACTTCATCGATGCTTCTGCCAGATGCCCTGGCTTCCTTGCGTACTGCGCGGTATCGAATCCGCCAGATGATATGGCTTGCATATATTCCTGCTTCGAGGACAACCCTATAAGTCACCCACCCGGGTCAGCCAGTCCACAACTAGTACAAACCCGTATATCCATCCAACTTACACGAGAATGTACATGATCCCTCCGAGAATATCGAACGATCCCTGGGCAGCTAAAAAACTATCGTTAGACCTCACATGATACTAATGTTCCATGCCAGTGCAAGCGAACCTAAAGCGAACAGCGAGAACAGTCCTCCCAGGGTATCAATGGACAAGAACACCCAGTCTACAGACAATCAGTAATGCATCAATCCCGATAAGACACAACTAAATACTTACTGAACCCAATTACCCGACCATCTCTCTTCCACAGTTCAAAATACGGCGGCACAAGCCCAGATGCTAGTAGAATTGCCGCAACGACTCCAACCACCAGGTCCGGCCAGGTCACACCCTTATTATATGGTATCTGAACAACGACATAATCAGCCCCAGTTCGAACCCAGGAAGTTGCGGAAACAAACCCTCAACGTGAGAATCAACAACGTCTCAATCCCACCGAACAACATCGCCGTACCCACAACTAACGACGTTGCCTTGAGACAAGTATAACTACTATAGTAATCACACACGAGAAACATTAACAACCTCCCAAGCCAAACCCCATTCCACCAACAATATCAAAAGAAACAAAGACCACATACTGATTATAATATAATATCTGCCCCCAACTCACCAGCGAAAAGAAGCCAAAAATCTGCGGCTGGATCTGCAGCGGTAAATTGACCTCCTGCGAGCGCCCTCATTAGCTGCCTTACGTCAAACTAAGTAGATCAAACACCAAAAACCATGTTACTCACCTGCAAAACCATGTAAGCACCCATCGGCACGGCACCTGTTCAACAAAGCATTAACTCATCAGGTCAATCTTCCATCCCATACTATGCAGGCTATGCAATCACAAAAGCGCAGAAATCCAACATGGAGTTTGTTCGAAAAACGCACAAGAAGCCCACAAAAGCATCATCAAAGGCGGAAACCCATCGGTTTTCTTCCGTCGCCAATTATACCAGATCTGAGGAATCAGCTGGATGCACCAGAGGACAGTGCCAATCGTGCCTAGGACATAGGAGGCACCCGTGATGTTGCCGTCATCACTTTCGCTACTCGCAGTCATAATGCAGTGAGTGGTAAGTAGTAGTGCATAACAATTAGAGACCGATATCGGCGTGTAGTATATGCGAAACGACAGAAGTAGCAATGGGATATATAGTCAATATAGTAAGTAATGTATATACAAAAGAAGGAGAAGAAGAGGTATCCTAAGAAAAAAAAAAAAAACAGTTAAAGAATCACTACTACCATCATCACCGCTTCCTCTGCAGACTTATCAAGCGTAAACGCTCGAGCGAAATAAAGCCTGAAGAATTAGATTGTCCGGGGCAAGTTCCGCCGTCAGTGGGTGGGCAAAGAACCGTCTAGTCTACTTAGTACTAACTACTTATCCGCTGGGTCTGATAGCGGAGGGGGATAGGGGAAAGGGGCATATCATTGGACAGAGCGGGGGAGATGGAGAAAGCAAGAAGCACCGAAACTAGGACGAGACGGGTAAATCAGAGGAGAATTCAGGGAGAAAAAAGTTCTAGACGGGGACTGGGCTCGGGCGGAGTACTCGGGAACGGGTGGATGAATAGTTCCAAGGAACACAACATGTCTGGATGGGCCGCTCCACGATGCGGGACTGCGAGAGATAATGGGCGCTGGATGCAGCGGTTTTTCTGATACCTCATGTCGGCCAGCAGGGAAGTCAATCGCTCGACGCACGTGGTCGCGGAATAAGATCGGTCAATGGAAGTTTACTTAATTTCTATATATTTATCCTGCTTATCTACCACCATTTCAATGCAGGAGATCGAATGCGACCTGTCTAATTTGACTTGTGCGACGTATCGTTCATTTATGATGAACAGTCAAGAGGTGAGAAGATAGCATAGCATTTAAACACGGACTCATTTCCAATAGTAACACGAAAGAGATATAACCGTCAAGGATGAGGGTGCTTCTGGGCATGATCAAAACAGATCCGAAGGCCATACATAACATATCAACAGCACAAATTCCCGCTGAAGGAGTCGGGGAGCACACATAATTCAAATATGCCAACACGCACAACAAAACGAAGAGAAATGTCTCTAGTGAACGACAAATAAACCAACAGAATACACAGGGCCATCAAAACGTAACATGACTTCGCGAACCAGAATCACGCCGAGTGATACTACTCGAAGGGTATCAAAAACTGATTTTTCTCTCGCGACAAAATAGCGAGAACCATGACAGACCAGAAAGACAGAAGAAGGAAAGGACGTGACACCGTGGGTTGCTCTGCATCGATCACAGCAAGATCAGGTAGTTGGATGGAGCAATACCGGTCTCTCCGGTGGCCTTCCTGGCCTGCCACCATCTACCGCTCACATCGGACACCTCCAAAATCTCATGCTTGGTGAAACTGATCTCATTGGCGTCTTCGGGGTTGGCCTCATACGAATAGATGGCCTTCGCACGGTACGGATATTCCGTTGGCTGGGGAACCTCATCTGGTGTGCCATTGTTAGGCAGGTTCGTGGCGGACGGGTTGCCGAAGCGGGGCTGCGAGGAGCTGCGGTGTTCGGAGCCAGGGGCTCCACCGGGGTAGCCCGACACGGGGGAAGAAGTCTCGAAGCCATTGAGTTGAGCGGAGGTGTACATCTGCGGGGGTTGGCTGGATGTCGTCTCGGGTCTATTGCCGAAGGCGGTTGACATAGGCCTGCCATTTCCATACGAGCCAGCACCTTCCTTCTGAAGGGCGAACGAATCGATGAAGCCGCGATGCGAAGCCTGGGGGCTAGATCCGAAGTAGAATATCCAAATGATCTGCATCAAAGGTAAGTCACGTACTGCCTAGTGGGTCTGTGTCCGAGCTTGTTATCACTTACAATAACCATAGCCAAAAGAATGAACCCAGCACCGGCAGCTTGCGATGCGGCGCTGTTCGCATAGACTAACGAATTGATGGAGATTGTTGTAATAACAAGACCAGCGGAAAGATACCCCACGATCTGCCAAAGTCAGTACGAAGGGTTGTCGAAAGATTGGGTCAGAAGGAATGGCGACATACCGCTATGTTGTAGACGGTACCAGTATCGGTGCCGAAGACAAGCGCCATGCCAGCAATGCAGCAAAAGGAGTAAGCAACAGCCCACCACGAATAGGTGGGGTATCCGCCATGTACGCCAGTGACAATGGACGAGATGAATGCGATCAACCAAGCCAACTAAACGAAGAAAAGGTCATTAGCCGTGAGCCCGAGCCTTCGCACCAGAATGGATTGAAATCATACAATTGAGATGGACGTGGTCGCGAGCGCAAAAGGGTCGCCCAGAATATTGCTGGCTCTGAAGCGCGCCATTTTTCGTGGAGGCTCAGGATAGGTATATGGCTTCTGGAAGGAGGGGGAACGCGAAGAGTAAGCCACCATGAATGTGGTTCGAACGAGGTCGCGGAAAGTGATATAGAAGCGTCCGGAATGGGATGATGCTGTTCAAGACGCGATGCGACGATGACTGTGAAGGCCCCGATGGTGTATATGGATAGTAGCAGAGAAGGTCCTTCTATGCTTTTAATTTGTCGAGTCAATTGACGATTTAGGTCGGATGTGATCTGAGAATGGGAAATCCGTCGAGTGTGGCAATGAGCGTGAGATCCGACCAAGGTGGAAGAAAGTGTCCGACTACAGAGCAATTAGCCAGGTGCTCAGGTGGGCGAACGTGTATGATCAAGGAACATGCAAGTTGATCGACGGCGCACGGAGGACATCGTGAGGAACGACAACAACGCGATCCCCAAGGAGCCTCATGCAGGGAACAGGACAGAAAGGTAAAGCGGATGAGTGCGACCAAAACTCGGAATAAGATTTAGAGGAACAAGAATAAGGATCGACGCATCACATACTTCTGAGACAGACAGGTTAAATGAATGTGGAATGGCTGAGGGTCGGCGAAAGGGGAGGAAGAGAAGCAGTGGCACCGATCGTCTCAAACCGGCGGAGTAATCGAAGGAGGGATCGAGGAACAAGTGCTCGGAGAGGTTGGCTTGGGTTGGTGTTCAGACAAGCCCACGGAATGCCCCTTGCAGAAGCACGAAGAGAAACAGCAGCACCAGGCTGGAGAAGAACGGATAATGATGAAACGTTAGTGTCGAAAAGAGGCGGATGGAGAAGCAGAGGAATGAATCAAGAGAAGCGGGAGACGGAGGAGAAAAAAAAGAGGGGAAAAGAGGGAAAGAAACAAAAGGTGATAGATGAAATAGAGATAATAAAGATGATGGGGGGGGAGGGGTGAACGAGTGAAACGAGTGGGAAAGGGAACGAAAAGTCGATGGGGTAGACAAGCCGACCGGATAGAGGAGAAGGGAAGGATGAGAGAAAGAGAGGAATGGGAACGGCTGGAGATGGAGAAAGGCGAAGCCCAAATCTGGAGGGAGCCGTGAGCGAGGCCTACTTAGTTCCAGGTTCGAGGTCCGGAAAAAGGAGATGATGGATGGGTGGGTGGATGGGATGGATGGATAGTGGATGGGAATGGGGACAATTGGGTGGAAGGGGAAAGGGAAAACAAATGGGATCGAGTTTCAGAGCGACGGTGCCTGGCCCGAGTGGCCCACGCGAACCGCAGAAAGACAGTACTTACCCTCAGGCACTGTCTTTTTGGGGGCCCCCCCTGGGTTTAGTGCGTGGCCTGCAACGTATGGCAGTTTGACATACATCTATCTGTCTATCTATCTAACTAAACTAATAGTTCTATTTCTATTATTCTGTTTACCTAGTTCATCAGACCGTAGATAACTACTTTAGTTAGTCTACCAATTAACAATTGGGTACTACTAGGGTGGTTTTCTCTGCCGTTACTATTCTTATAGTAACTCGGAGGATGTTCCAGGGAAGGGGGGAAAGAACCGGGCTGTGAAGGATGACGACTGTCCTGTAGGTAAACTAAGTATTTACTCCGGACTTACAGTAAGTAGTATCTGCTGTCATTTCGTTAATCACAAGTTGTAATTATTTTTATTATTATGTTTCTCAATTACGGTCGCATTAATCTCAATGGGTGAATACATTAAATGAAAGGATACTTAAGCTCAGCTTTAGTACGTCGTCCCTTTCATTGAGATTTTCAAGAAAGCCTAGACTAGACTTCACAAGAACAATGATTCTAGTTTAATTGGCATGTGCACGTCAAACAATTTCAATTTTAATAATTCATCCCGTTAGACAAAAAAGTAAAATTAATTTCCACGGGCCTTCTCATTCCCCTCTCACTACTACCACTTCGGTTACTACTAGTAGGTAGTGTCAGTGTGTCTTTTTTTTTTACCCCCCGGGAGAGAGAAATACTAATGAGATCGATGCATTTTCCTTATGAAAACTGGGTCCCGGCCTAACCCGCTTTGAGGCGGCACGACACGCAAACTCCGGCCATGATTGTTGTTTGATTAGTCGATTTCCCGGAGGGCCTCGTCGCCCCTCTTTTAGTGCCGGTGGTGGATTCTCTTCGTCCATTCTGGCCCCTGGAAAGGCTGAGGCTGAGTTGTGGCTCTCGTGGCGGCGTCGATGGCCTGTGGGTTGTCCACCGTTTTGAACAGTTGGTTTGGTCGCTGAGACCTGCGAAATTTAGTAGTTACTACTGCAGTAGTCCAAATACATAACGAGATCATTGGTAGCGATGTACGTACAACATGGCTCAGTGAGGATTTATCCAACATTCTTATACCATACAACCAACGGTTTCTTTCTAGAAAAAAAAGCCTCTCTAAATTAAGCCTTACCCTGACTGCCACGATTCCAACCCTGCTGATCATGTTGCTATTGCTGCTGCTTACGCCCCAGGTGATCCTGGGAATAAATGATGATAGTGTTCTTTCCCTTCGGTAGTTGGTTATTTTGGGGATAACATGACTCGTATGGAACACTGGTCCAATCTTGGTTTAATTCTAGCATAGCACTCATTATTACTCACTACATAACTAATTAAGCAGGAATGAATTCATCACCACACATAGTTGCAAAGGTACCAAATTATCATCATCATCATCATCATTCAAATCTCAGACTGCAAGGCTTAGACCTGCAGATACTCCCTATCGGACTGTTGCTGACCAGCCAGCCCATCACAAACAACCTTGTGTAAACACACAGTATCAATACCATACATAGTAAGCAAGTGAGACATACTGGCTGTGCCCGACACAGTAAGAAAATCACGAGTTACCTAGGTACAATTATAGCATTTCTTATACCTCGTATCACACTCAAACACAGACACACATCTGATCACGAGTTCATCCTGTGCTCTTTCCCCTCCATCAAAACAATACCTCGTACACACACATATAAGGTAAGCCAAACAAAGAATATTCCACGACGTGTTCTCCTTCTCACCACAATCACAATCACAACGCACTCCCATGCTCCTCATGCAAGGATCGCGCTCATGAGACAGACATAAAAGTACCCGGTCGGGATTCTTCCCCGTGGGTCTTCTTCGTCTCTAATATGTACCATGTATGTACTCCGTAAGGTAAGGTGACTTGCTGTGTCCTTGAAATGAGCAGGTACCTTTTACTTTCAGCACTCAGCAGGTATTGTAGATACCCACTAACTACACACGGATCACTGTGACTACTAGTAGATATAGGGACATGCGCCGTTCTTCCTTCCGGGTTCCGGCGTGGTCGATCAGTTCTGCCGGGAGTCCAGATCCTCTCCGTGCGTCGTCGGTATACTGCAGCCCCGGCTGCCGGTCTTTGTTTGATGGACCCCCGAAAGGAGCAAGATCAAGGGCCGGTCGGTCTGTTTCATATCCAAATGGATGAAAGAAAAGAAAGGACTGATGAGTTCCAACGGCTTTACCGTCCATTCAGTGGTCGTTGCCACACAAGACGATGTCTCTCAATGGATGAATGGATCGTTCGTCTACATACAGTAGAAGAATGATTTACTTACTACAAACCACTCTCCTCTATAACGACCACCCTTAACTTAACCATGACCAGAACAAACAAAGAGGTATCATATCACATCACAAGCCAAGCACGCTAAAAGAACATGGGAACCAGAACCCGAAGAAAAAAAAAAGCAACTGCCTCATTCTCACAACTCCTTCGCTCGCCGCTCCCTCACCACTTCCTCCCGTTTGACCTCCCTTTCCACATCCTCCAGTCTTCCTTCCCATTCGGCCCAGCATTCACCGCCACTAACCAGCGCCACTTCGTACCATCGCTGCAAGACTCGAGCAGACCGCACACGTAGCTCGGAGATTTGTTTTGCCTGGTCCTCCTGAGTTCGCGCCAACTGGTCCAGTCGTGGCTGGAGCTGGATAAGCGACGCTGAAGTCTCGGCGTCCGGGATGGGGAGGTCATTCAACGAAGTAAGTCGGGACGCGGTTTCGGGGAATGCAGAAGCGTAGGATAGGACGATCGAGGCGAGGTTCTGTGTCGATAGATTCTCAGGGAGTGATTTGGAAGGTGTTTGGCGGAAGAGGTCGGGGAAGCGGTCGTCTGGACGAAAATACTTAGTTTAGCTATTGATCCACCCCCTACGTACACGATTCATCAGATGTAAGAAGGTCATTCATACGGAGACTCAGGACATCTCTGACGGCCGGGATGTTTCTGCTCAGCTTTTCCAGGTCCCTCTCTAGGCGAAGAAGACGGCGCGAGACGCTGTCATCGAGAGATGCGGGCTTTGCGGGCGGCGTGGGATTGCCCGTCCAGTTTGCATCGCCGGTCAAGAGGTATGTGAGGCGCCGTAGACGGGTCTCGAGGAGCTCAATTGTGGCACCGGCGACCGCGTCGTTTTCGAGGGTCATTGTGTAGGTTGCTTAGTAGAGGGGTTGGTTTCCCTGTTCGGACAATGTTGCTGGAACCACGGTTCTCGAATCTCGATGCTAAGGGGAGACGGCGTCGTTTGGGGGGTGGACAATGCAAACGTGACATACAACATCAACAAACGGCACGTGGGGGAGCCCATTATTTAGTCCCAAACAATGGTCAAACAAAACCCTGTTGATCCTAATCCGTCGCTCAGCCTTAAGTTGCTTCTCATTTGACATTCCAAGCGCTATATTCTAATTATGCCAGGTTCTAGATCTCGATTGCGGGACGCCTAGGTATCTAGTCTAAATGACAATAATTACGGATCAACTTAAGACTTCAGCCCTGGGTGTCATGTCGCCTTGTCGTCGACTTGGTCCCACATCGCGTCGGCATTCTGCGAAGGTTGCACAGGTCCAGCTGTGCTACTTCGGCTGAGCAAAGGGCGTCCGCCTCTTTCCTCCATTTCCTGCCCCCGGCCCGCTCCCTCGTCAAATGATGGAACCTGGTAGTCAAACACGTTCACCATTGGCGTCGTACGAC